CATTTTAATGCCCCACAATGGTGACACACATTTTCCATACGGCAAAATTCATGAGCCTGTGGCTATTGTAATCCAATGTCAAGTCATATTCAAAACCACATTTTTCAAATAACCCCCAAGCATTTCTGGTAAATGTTTGCCGGCACTCTGCTTGATGCTGAGCGACTGCGAGTCGTCTAGAATTTGTCTCATCTACTATCTCGGAAGCACGCGGATTAGACATTAGCTGGGATTAATTTAGCCGTCGAGAAGTTTCTTCATCAGGTGTTTCAATGGCACGCTGAGTGGACATACGCTATGCGTTTTCTTGATGCCAAGTAGCTGCTACTTCAGGTGTCTCTAATGAACGCTGATTAGCCATAAGCTGGGCATGCTCTCGCCGTCGAGAAGTTCCTTCATCAGGTGTTTCAATGGCACGCTGAATGGACAACGTTGTGCGTTTTCTTGACGCGGAGTAGCTGCTTCTTCATGTGTCTCTAATGCACGCTGATTAGCCATAAACTGGGCATGCTCTCGCCGTCGAGAAATTGCTTCATAAGGTGTTTGATTGGATCACTGTGTGGCCATAGGCTGTGCGTTTTCTTGACGCGGAAAAGCTACCTCATCAGTTGTCTCTTATGCACGCTGAGAAGCTATGCGGATAGGATTTTCCAGACGCCGAGCATCAGCTTGCGCAGAAGTTTCTCCAGTTCTGACTTCTGCCTGACGTGTTGCTTGGTCACGTCTGCGCTGTTCAGTATCATAAGTAGATTCTTGCTGTCTTGCAATTTTCATAGATGAAGCTCTTTGTGAGCTCTGTGAACGATTTGGTTTACAATTGTGAGTCATAATTAGATACACAAAAAAATTATAACAATATTATCCTAGAAATATGTATGAAATATTAATCTATCAAAATAGCTTTGACATGAATGTTCAACATAGCTTTGACATGAATGTCAAGAAATATGTACCTACTTAAACAAAATTCATTTGCATCGATTTTCCCATCGAAATAAGATATTTTCCCGAAGTAAAATGTAGCCTATGTGTTAATCCAGGGTATCAGCTAACTCCACACCAAATTTTATTAAAATCGTTCCAGCCGTTCAGACGTGAAGAAGTAACAAACATACACACTCACATACTCACAAACTTTCGCCTTTATAATATTAGTGTGATGTACATATACATATTTCATTTACTAGCTATAAGAGAAATAGAGAACTAAGATGTGCGCGCGCACTGCTTTCTCTTGCTTATATCCCCCACTCAACTCCCGTTCGCCTCGCCTCAACACACTTTTCGTAACGCGTAACGCATTCGCCAGCTTAGCCCCCAAGTCAAGCGTGCGTAAAGTTTCACTTCAAAAATCATTAAAAAGGATTCTAGGGTCACGTTGACCGAAAACACCTGGAATTGGCGAAAGCTAAAATGACGTCACACGCTAGTAAACTTCCGGTCAAAGTGACATTACATTGTGTCGTTTAACGTTTTAATAACAGTTGTGTGACGTCACATAGCTGTGAGACGCCTAGAATTACGTCTAGAGAAACGTTTTCGCGGCAACTTTAAAATGGTATGTTTGATTTAGTTTTTTACTGAAATACGCAACAGAATGATGAATGTCTACTTTTTATAGACTTCATGAACATTATTAAATAACGTGAGATCGTTTACTAAAACTTGTCAAATACCCTAGACACAGTAATTTTATCTATATATTACCGTGCCCTAGATTTCATCTTCGTTGATACCAAGACGTAATGTAGTCTGTACATATAATAGGGGAGCCCAAGAGGGGATTTGGGGATTCACTCGAGCGCGGCAGATTAATATATGGGAATATATCTTACATCTAGTTGATTACCTCTACCAAATCTGAGTTCTCCATGTAGTGCCGCGCGCGTAGACCAGCCGATCAGAATAGTAAAAAAAATCGATAGGCGGAAATACTCGAGCGCGTCAGATTAAGTTATGGTGGTTTAATTACATGCTGAAAAGTGTGTATTTCAATAATCTGACGATTTGAGCATGACGTAAGGGAGTGGGAGGGTTGCAAAGTTGCACAAAAAAACGCTGTCTGGACATTCTCGAGCGCGATTGTTTTTTTTTTTTAATTTAAAGGTAATAATAATTCAAGCATCATGGAAAACATATAATCTGCCGATTTGGACAAGCCGAAGTAACAAAAATCTTTAATAAAGTGTTGCGCGTGCAGCTGCAGCGAAGCATGTATTTCATACTATGCGCCATTCTCTATTTCGCTCTTTCTCTATCTTCCACTCTCTCACACCGTCCCCACATCACTTTCTGTCTACCATTACGCTTTCACAGCTGATCACAGCGCTCGTGAACCTCGTGGTATTGTATGTACAACGCTCTGGTTTGTTTGTTTTATTTGATTTTTTTTGAGTTACTTATTTACTATCACGAAAATGTGTGACAATATTATAAAGTGTGTGTTTTGTGGACAAAATACATGTCAAAAGATTGTAAAATTTACATCGGATCCATCCATTAGATTTTGTAAAATTTACATCGGAAACAATAAGGACATGCAAGACGGTTTTGGAGTATCGTCGGAGTAAACCTACTCTCAGAAGATCGAGTACAACGTACGATAATCTTGAACTTCCGGATGAAACATCATTTTTTACAATGAGTGTATCCTGGCCTAATGTAACCCTTATTAGATTTTCAGCTTATTTTTATTTGCATGCTATTCTTTATTATTTTTTTTTTTATCACATTCAATTATTTGAAAAAAATCACAGAGAAAAATTTCTTTAAACCGTCAGATTAAGAAAATCCCTCCGAATATTCGTCAGATTATGGATCAGCATGACCAGGGCATCAAGCTGAACCGCCTGTATGAAAATCTGACGCGCTCGAGTATTTCCAGATCGCGATTTTTTTTGCATTTTCAAAAAGCCGTCACGAGCTTGCGTCGCGTCCAAATCGTCAGACTTTTGGATGTGAGCTTCGTTTAGGCTCACTTAACATTCCCTCTGAATATCTGACTCGACTCGAGTAAATTTTTTTTTCCCCCATTTTCAGTCCATCCGTACTAGTCCCATCATGCAAACCGGCAGATTAACATTCTTTCGGCATCAGAGACACAAGGGGCATATACAATATCAATATCTGCCGCGCTCGAGTATGTCCATGTGACTATTTTTTTTTACATTTTCAAAAGCTTCTAGACGCTTGTTCCACCGGTGAAAGGGTATGCATCTTATAACCTTTTTTTCTTTCTACCATCTGATCTTTAAAATTCAATAGGTCTCCACGACACTCGAATAAATCCCCATTGAGCATCGTGGCTTCCCCTACTGTATTACTGTACTGTAGATAGCTGTGTTCTTTTTTTTTGTTTTATAGAGTATTTGTAAATGTAAGAAAAAGGTGACCTAAATGCGAGCCCTGCGAGATACCCGACGGAACAGTACAATTTTAACTTCTGATTGGTATCCAAACAATGATACCAAACTTGACCGGCTTCGTTAAATATGATTCACGCCACCTAGGAAAGTGAAGCTCTTGAATTTCAAGAGTAGTCATTGTTGATCCAATCAAAAGTCTATCCAAAGTCAGGGTATCAAAAGTTATTTCGTGTAAATTGAAGGGATTAAAGAAAGGTAGAACATAATTAAATATATATATATAAGCCTCAACCTCAACAATCTTCATTTTTTTGTTATTATTTCCATTACCAAAAGTGCCGATAAAACAGATGGCGGTAATTATAATTACCGCCATCTGTTTCGGATTGAACAAACTAAAATAGCTGAGTATTTTGTGGCAGTGGCACGGAAGATTTTGTTAGGTAATAATGTACCTAATTGATTAATTTACTTTAGATTCGATTTATCAATAAATGAATTAAAAATAAATCATAAACATTCCTTTAAATTAGAGATAAATGTTTCTTGACACAGACACGTGGTAAACTGATACCTATAGTTACGTTTTTCAGTACCTAATATTGAAAAAGCAAGAATGATGATTTTAAAATAAATTGTAAGTAAATATAGTTTTGTTGTGACTGTGCTGGCATGAAATAATGAAGCCAACCTAAATTTTTAATCGATAGGAAGTATCGATTAAAAATAGTATTCAAACCATAGACATAGTTAACGATGACCTCATTAGAGGTCGCTAGCGAAACTTTAGTATGGCAAGAATTCATACATATACCTCATAAAGTGGGAGATTTCTTATTGTTTCGTTTCGTTTTATGTAAAACGGCGTATAAACTTAGTATTAAAATATATTTCACGTTAATATTGTAAACATGCGTAAAACACGCACATGTATACATATGTACACATACAGACACAGTAGAAGGTTTGTAGTGTTAAAAATAAAGAGGCAAGCTCAGTGCATATATATCTATAGATAAATTGGAAACGTCGTAAACAAATGTTATATTGAGGAAAGTGCGGTTGCGTCCTCAAGAAGGGCCAAACGATTGTTCAGTAGAGTGTTTTCTAAGCTTTATGTTATACCTAATACTTAAATAACGAAAATCCGTAATTTGAGATTGAGAATAATTAAATATAATCATATTAATTGCTTTATTTCTCGTATAGTCGTTAAAATAGGCAGAAAAATATTACTTACATTTTCTATTTTAATTTTTTGATAGTTTCGACCAAGAAATCATTATCTAATACATTTTTTTCAAATAAATTTATTTACCCTAAAGGGGATTAATTTTTTTAGGGTGTACACACAAAAAATCTATATTGGCTATGGGCATAGTGTCGTGCTCAAAATAATCGCGGGCAGCGATAGTGAGATATACCTTTAAAAGAGGAGACGCTCACTTACCTTGAATAAAACCAAGACCTAATTTTAAAGTAGTTCAACTTCAAATATTTCCTCTCCACCATCTTGAAATTATGAATATCGCTATCATTTCACGCTACTAAATAAAATTTATAGATTTCGATTCAAATCGATTAAGTTGTATTCCATTAATGTTATTGTCAATTGTCAGTGTCACATCACTCATTCGTTGGCCAAGCGAAGCGACGGGAGATGTGCGGGTTTAGCACTCTGTTGAATTAAATACGTCATCTCTCAATCTAAAACAATATTCTGATTTCATTCGTGATTAAAAAACAATACTAAAACAGTAAGTAAACATATTGGTTATCGTATAAAAGCCTCCCGTTCATGGGGGTGCGTTGTTTGTATCTCGGTGGTAGTGCTATAGAAATGCATAATATAACCTATCTGCGCGCTTTGCATAAATCTATGAGGCCGTAGCCTTGTAGTTGATGCAGATGCAGCCGATGTGGATACATAACGTTAACGCGATTAAAAAAAGTAGTGAGAACGTCATCAGTGCGAAGCCATCGTTCAGAGGACAGTTTGCCGCGCTCGGGGCTGTGTTTATTGACGCGTCTGTTGCAATATTGCAGGCATTATGCCGGCGGCAAGGGGCGTTAAACGGACAGCGTCCAAATCATCGGCCGCAACAACGTCCACGGCGGCACCTAAAAACAAGAAAAAACGCGGAGGTGAGTTCACAAAATGTTGATTCCTCGGTTGTTTTCTTTACATTTTTGTACGACGTCAATGACCTGTCAAACCATGATGGCGGGAAAAGGGACGCGCAGTGCATTATTCTGCTAAAACACTGCCTTCTATTTCAATTTTGCACGTATTCTGTAAATTTGGTCAATTTACACAGAAAGTAAGTTGAATGGATCTGACATGGTAATGAGAAATCCAAAATCTTATATAAGCAAAGAAGTCGATTGGAATAACTTTTGAGGTTATTATGTTAGCTTTCTTATTTGGCGCTATATTTACCACTAAGAAATTGGTTAAAGACTTTCTATGCTACAAAATAACACAATCATTAGTCTGTTCATATTACTAGTTACTCAAAGAAATTAGTATCTGAAGCCTAATTTGCAATATAATAGACTCATTATTTTCCAAGCTAAAATGTTATAATGAACATATCAGTTGCTTCTGTACAAAAAAACGAAGTACCACATTAAATTAGGCAGTTTAAGTACCACTATCAATATTAAATGCAACAACCTACCTAGCATACAAGACACCTGTTATTGATATAATTAACATTACTAATTTTTATCAATATTAAATGCAACAACCTACCTAGCATACAAGACACCTGTTATTAGTGTAATTAACATTACTAATTTTAGTATAGAATGCTTTACAATTTGTGTCTCTAGTCTAAAATTGTAGGCTGTTATCTGTTATGACTAAGTATGTTCATATTAATTAGTCAAGAGTTATTAGAATAATAATATTATTATAGGTGATGAACATTGTTGTAATACTATAAACAACTTCAAAATTGTTAAACTTACCAGAAACTGTCTAAGGCCTACACTTAATTTAAAAGCAAACCGAAACTTCATATTTTTCTTACTATATTTATAAATAATAAACATGGTAAGAGAAGTTTCTATTTAAAATAATATTAAGTAGCCCAAAAATAATATAATAATAATTAAATGCGATAGTTTATCATTCAAATTAACTATAACCTCAAATTGGCAAAATTACATTTTGTTCGAAATTTGTTATGATAGTTCATTTTGGAGAAAGAGAGTATACATTACCTTGTATCTTGTTGTTGTAGGAAATAAAGCCAATCATACAAATTAATAGGGTAGGTATTCATCCAATAAGGCTATTTGACTGTCAATAAGTGAGACTCGTTCAATGATACCAACCTAGTGGAAATTTATTGTAAAATTTTAATATTTTTTTAACCTTAATTTTTTTTTTAAAATAACAAAACTATAATTAACTTACAATTACAAATAATTATATTTGAGCAACCATGATGCAAGGGTGACTTATTGATGCAGTTATGTTTATTTTGCTTTGTATGATATTATTCTAAAAACAGGACTAATATTTTTTGAAATTGTTTTCATTTTGTATATTTTTTGATGCAAAAAACTTGTAATCTATTAAGTTATAAGATTATTATTTCATGGACTTGTTTTAAATTAAAAATATTTAATTTTCTTACAAAGACATTATAAAGTATCATTAAATAGTAATAATATTTTTTTTTTCTTAAATTCAAAGACATGCATTGAGAACTTGAATCACTATAAGGCTTAACTGTACTGGACCCACTAATTGGTGATTTTTCATGGTAGGTTAGACTAGTGTAGTGACTATAACCCATGAGACAAACAACCAATGCGAGTGTGCCCGGGCTGCAGCCTACCAAGCGCTAGAAAGAGAACTTCTTTAATAGAGACCCTTTCAACAACAAATTTTGAAATGTCACCACTTGGACCCAGAAAGTAGTTTTACCCAAAAACTACTGTTAAAGAATAAACATAAATGCATCTCCTATTTCATTTACATTACATATTTAAGTATAGGAATAATGTTAAACCATTTTATTCTCCAGCAACTCAGTTGGAAGTACCGACTGCACCTAAAAAGAGGGGTCGTGTGTTTGCTTGTGGACAAGGAGATGTCGGACAACTTGGTCTAGGGGAAGATGTTGTTGAGACTTCCAAGTAAGTACAAATTAATATCTTGGCTCTGTAAGGTTAAAATACTGTTGCTATAACCAACTCTATAACTAGAGATGCACCGAAATTCGTATCACATACAGTATTACCTAAGTTCGGTTTGGCAGCTTTGGCAATGTCGGCCGTTTGGTAGCTTAAATTAATTTTAATATAGAAAGTGTATTTTAAAATGAAATCTTGATTGAATCATTTACATCACATCACATGATTTGTTACAAAATAAGGTAATTTATAATGTGGATATTGTGGATGTTCTTTCATGTTTAAACTTATTTCCTTAGACAAGAAAACATCAAATATGGAACATGCTTTAAAAAAATATTAATGAATTAATTATTATCTCTATCAGCAAAGTAACATAACATTATTTGTTCTTATAACTTATTTTAGATAATGATACTTTTTTCTCTTAGTATTTGTTTTATTGTCACATAACAATATTTTATATTTGTCATTATTTTTAAACAATTTGCTCATTGTGTAAGTAATACGCTAAATTTAACTGAACATTCAGTTGAATTCGACAGGAGCAGGACCCACATTCGGTGCAAAAATATCTATAACATGAATATTTCAGCCACTTACTTGCTGACGAGTTAGTCGCTCCCAGCCTTCCCACTTCACCTCACTGCGCTCCTAAACAGACCCTACTATGGCTTAAATACATTTGATTGTTAGCCCTTATTCTGGCACCCGAAGCAATATTTACACTGGAATACAGGCTGGAAGACTGTAGGGTAAACAAAACGTAAAATACCCGAATAAGGGTGTACTCCGTTCATTTACACTTGCCTTTTACCTGAATTGCATTAGCACTCGGGCTTACGACCAACTGTAATCGCACCATAACTTGATTTTGTAACAGTCATCGATGGCCAACTCAAAGCAAATTGATATTACTTAATCATGAGATTAATGTACAAATATTTATTAGTATCTGTGTTTATAATTTTAATTTTGTGATAATAACCTATAAAAAACTATTTGAATGTTAAAAGATTTCATTTCCATTTATTGTTGTAGGTTCAAACAAGTCACCGCTTTGGGTGACAAAATTGTTGATTGCTACGCGGGTGGTATGCACACCATTGCACTGGACAGTGATGGCAAGGTTTGTCAAAAATATTTAATAATAATATAAAACATTTAACATAAAATTATATGAAGTTTTGTCATTAGCTAGCTTGCTATGATTATAGTGCAATAAATCACATCTCAAACTATTTTTGCATTGTATTCACAATAAACCATTATAATCATAATTTTTCTTTTATTCATTTTTAAATTTAAATTTGGCAAGTTAAGAATCGTGCCCGAATGCTTCAAATAACATGCCAATACAAAAGCTTTTTTTTGTAATATTCATTGAAGTAGATAAATAAAATCTAAAACGTTTGTAATATATATTTTCTCCTTTTGTCTGTGGCTTATTCCGTTTACCACAGAAATTTAGCTAATGTCCTGTAGTGAAAGATAAATGAAATCTACAAAGGATGGTTTTGCAAGAGTTTGATTTTGTTTCCCCCAATACACAAAAAGCATGATATGAAACAGACTTAACATTACATGGCAGGGTTGCAAATTATCAAGATAATTATTTTCTCTGATAGTAATCAGATAATTATCCAAATATCAAATCAAATAACATATTTAAAAATGAAACATTTATTTCTATATTTGGACATTACTTTTGCCTGAGAGTCGAAGGCCCGTGTTACAAAATGACAACCAAGTGTTGATCTTTACTTGAGTACAGTTAGAAAAGGATATCGCTATGTGCTATATATAGCGACATCCCTTTCTAACGATGCTCAAGACTAGATCAATCACTGAGAATCTTTCTATAATACAGGCCTTAGACTACTTTCGTTAAAAAAAACTATTAATTTTGATATGTGTATGACTTAATTATTGTAATTTTTTACTGCTATTACTAATGTTTTAATTAAATGTATTATTATATATTTATGATATATATATATATATGCATATTCTTTTTTGTAAAGCTATAAATAAAAGGCTTTTTTACATTTTTATTTATTTTAGATTAATTATCTATATTTTCAAATAAGAAATTAATTTTTTCGCGCTTCGACAACAATGTACGGTAGAATCCGTTTATTATGACTCCGCCTATATTGACCAACCGCCTATTATGACGTAATTACACAACGAAGTTTGGTTTTCATATAAAATTCATTGTAACAATGTCGGATATAATGACTTCGCTTACAGTGTCATGTCGCTTATTATGATCCATTTTTAATCAATTTCGTGCGTTTATAGTGACCGACATGGTTCTTTACACCTACGGTAATGTTCGTTGATTCAAATTGAACATCAAGCATTGTTTTTAGTGATGTGCTATGTAAAAAAATGTCATCTCTACGTCGTAAAGCATTTACGACTGAGGAAAAAGGTGCAATAATGGAAAATGGAGAATCAAACTCATCTCACAATCTTTTTTCACAAAAATGCTTTGTATGACGTCCGCTTAGTATGACGTGTTTGTCGATTCCCTTGGAAGTCATAATAAACGGATTGTACTGTATTATTATTTTGTTTGTACATTAACAGTTACTCGTTATTATCAATGGTAACTATCACGATAATTATCCAGTGCAACCCTGTTACATGGTACAGGTATGGACATTTGGGTGCAACGATGAAGGTGCCTTGGGCAGGCCTACGTCCGGAGAGAAGGACGAGGGTACTCCCCGTACCGTAGCCCTACCGTCTAAAGCGGTCGCCATATCGGCCGGGGACTCCCATTCGGCAGCCCTACTGGACAACGGGGAAGTGTACGCTTGGGGATCTTTCAGGGTGAGTTGTGAACTTTATTTTATTTATTTATTTGATGAACAAACATTCAGTACAAAATCATCATCATCACACAGAAAACAAGGATGAAAACATTTAATATGTACATACTGAGTGACTAATAATAATAACAGAGTGCTTGACATGCTAAGCAACAGCATTATTAACAGCAACATTTGTATACAGGGTGTTACAAAAATACAAATAAAGCTTGAAGGGCGTTGAAGTACATCATATAATGAGTCTTCTCTAATTTTCTTAAAATATTTGCATGAAGTTTTAAGTTTTTATAAAAACAGTTATTTTTAATGATCAATATAAATATCGATCATTTTAAGACACGTCACTAGTTCGAGCCTCATTTAAAATAACAGTTTTTATAAAAACGTTAAAACTTCATGCAAATATTTTAAGAAAATTAGAGAAGACTCCTTATATGATGTACTTCAACGCCCTTCAAGCTTTATTTGTATTTTTGTAACACCCTGTATATATATTATATTTTTTCTGTTGATGGGTAGAATCACCCCATAAGAGGTTGTTGGTGTTTTAAAATTAACCCTGTATATGAGGGGTATACAATCAAAGTTGGTAAAGTCAACATTGCCAAAATGTTCAGTAAACATTAAAAACAACAATTTTAATAATTAAAGGTAACTATTCTAATGTTAAACATTATTTATATGCAGAATATAATACATTATGGAAATACAAGTGTTCATCATGTTCAGTTCAATACTTTTGAATAAAATCTTTAGTATAAGATGGACTTTCCCAGTTTTGTTGCCAAGTTTTGAACTTTACTAAGTTTATAACTGTAACACAACAAAAGAGCATTAAACCTCAAAGGCGGTCATGACAGCTGTCAGTGAAATGGAAACAATGGAGCCTTCCTATTGGTCGAAAAGGACTTTACGCAAATTGAAACTCAAAATTTTGTAAAGTCAATTTTCAATTTGAAATAACAGTCGAGATTTCTAGAATTTGTATAAAATTATTTTACGGTATAAATATTGATACGGAAACGAATGTGTTGTAATTTGAATTTCACTTTTCAAATTTTGTGGACTTTACCAACTTTGATTGTGTATACCCCTGTATAGGCCATGAGAACCATAGTGGCCTAACTAATTTTTTACAATATTGAGTTTATGATTTTTTTCAGTTCAAATTGATCTTTTTGATCTAAAAGTGATACAACGAATATTCACTAAATGGCAGCATAATCACTGTTACGGTTTTTAGTCTGTGATCTAAATTTTAGGTGCCATACTGACCTAAGTAAGATAGGCCACTATGGTTCTCATGGTATCTAATAATATATAATAAATAAATATTTCCAACACTCACACCAATTAGCCTAGCCCCAAAGTAAGCACTATAAGGCTTGTGTTGTGAGATACTAGGGTAACGGATAGAATACACATACTTTACATATATAAGTATATTTATATAGAAATACATATTTAAACATCCATGACTGGAGTACAAATGCTCGTGTTCATCACACAAATTTCTGCCCCCACCGGGATTCGAACCCGGGACCTCTCGAGTCGGCGACACCATGAAACCCGGCGTACAAACCACTCGGCCACGGAGGTCGTCAAAATGTATATAAAATATAGTATATGTCCGTTCATCAGGATTCCCACGGCAGCATGGGTCTCGTAGTTCGCGGTAGGGAAGGGAAAGCTTGCCGCGAGCCGGTGCGAGTGACATTGCCCGAAAACGCTACGGAAATCGCATCGGGCGGGGATCACCTCGTCGTATTATCTGTGAGACTTTGAATTATAGTTTTATTAGTTTATATATCAAAATTATTCTTCATTTCACTAGAATTAGTTTAGTGGAATAACATAAATATGGCTGGACGTTGTATTAGTATTTTGTCATCATCATCAGCCTATTAATGTCCCCACTGCTGGGGCACAGGCCTTCAGATTTTTAGTAAGAAGACTCGATAAAGAACTATATTCGACATCCACCGTGAAATCCGCCTCCAAATATATAAAGAGAAATGATGATACCAACATCATTTATCCTATATACTAAATATAATGTTAACTATAAAATTTATTGTAACTATATATTTATATTCTAAATGATGTAATGGATGTATCTCTGAAGTCATTTTTCAACTTGACCACTCTGTATATAACAATACAGGGAGAAAAAAAACAGCCCTTGCTGAGTTCCTTGCCGGTTCATCTCAGTACAAGGTCTCCCGCCGTAGTTTTGCGAACCGATGGCGTAGCTTCTTGACCTTCACAAGTGCTTGTATCAGCCTAGACTGAATAAATGACTTTTCATTTCATTTAATTCAAGAAGCTAGTGTGCTTATGACCCACTCGCTTTTTTTATCATTAATATTGGTTGTTTATGTATATATAGACATCGGGTGCAATATACACGATGGGTTGCGGTGAACAAGGACAGTTGGGACGGTTGTCCCAGAGATCGGCTTCCAGGGACGCGAGACAGGGATTCAGTAAGTATTATGAAATAACTTAATTGTATATGAGAAGTAATTAATTTTAAATTGTGGTTAGAAAAAACAATAATAAAATCTGGCTGGAATTCTTGTTCTGTAAACAGTCAGTAATTTAAACAAACAGGCAGCATATAGGGTTTTTGAACAAGAACTTTGTTTTGTAAAACAAAAATATTAGATGAAGATGATTAAATTTTTTATTGAATTACAAAGATAAAAGTTCGGCAATTATGAATGAAAAATGATATCTGGCAAATGTCCAGCACGAACACGCTGACAGATGTTAATTCTTTCATCAAAGTTTTTAATCACTGTTTGGCAAAATGGCGGGACTATTTCGTTAATCACATCACGGATTTTGAGTTTTAAGGCTACAATCGATTCGATTGGCCCCGTATATACATATATACGACCCTTGTCTTGATATGTTTTCCACCGGATGCCCTTCTAACTGGAGCGGTGACTCTAAGGCCCATATTACAGAATGACAACTAAGTGTTGATCTTTACTTGAGTTTACAGTTAGGAAGGGATGTCGCTATGTGCTATATATAGCGACATCCCGTTCTAACTATGCTCAAGACCAGATTAATTACTGAGAATCTTTCTATAATATGGGTCTAAAAGGCGACCTTATCGAATATGTTCTCACAAAAATGTAACCATAGAAGTGTTTCCTTTTTTCAACCCTTAAAAATATAATTAATGAAATAATGGTCTCTTTTCCACTAGGTGCCCTTCTGACCCCTGGCAAGGTGACATTAAAAGGTGGTGCTTCCCGAATATGGGCCGGATACCACGCAACATTCGCAATGCATACCAATGAGAAAATGTACGCTTGGGGGCTCAACAACTACGGACAACTCGGTGAGAATATGATTGTACTGATACTAACTAAAAAATAAAAAGCCTTTTTTTACCATATTTGAACTATCTTACACGATTAGTTAATCTTATACACTAATAGTTATGGTCCACTGAAAGAGTGAAGGCCTACTGACACACATTAACAATATTTATTTGCGTACTCCTCATTGTCATTCAACAAATGGCGGACTTAATGCCATAAGGCATTCTCAACCAGTCAGCCAGCGGATAAGAGACAAAGAGAGAAAAAAAATTTCAAACCATACCAATACTTACACATATAATGCAAAAAATATATTTATACACATACATAAAGTACCTACTATGTATATATAAAAGTACAATAATATTATATATTTACTGAATAATATGGACAATGTTTTCGATTCTGGCATGATTATCTAAACCTTAACTTAAATTTGACAACAGTGTATCCTTGTTATTCTCTATACAGAATTAAAAGGAGAAACTGATGTTAAATTTAGTTTTAAGTTTAGAAAAGCATGCCAGAATTTACACCGATGATGGGATAAACTAATCGAAATTCTATTTAGTCCGTCAGTTAGATTATTAAAAATAATAAGCCGTACTTCCCGAATATGTGCCGAATACCACGCAACATTCGCAATGTATACCAACGAGAAACAGACAGTCATTGAACAATTGCAGACTTTTATAAAATCAATAAACTCACTGAACAATTACGGACAAATTGACACATATTGACTTACTTGGCTAAGCTATAATGAGGATCTGTAACGATTTTAGTTGGAAATGTTGATTTATAAAGCTAATTATTCCACAAAATACAGTGGTTAAATTGTTATTCTACGACAAATATTGACGAAGTTATGACCAAATTGGTAAACGAATTTTCGGCAGGCCGCGTGGTGACTGTGACGTCACAGAGCTCTAGCGCTCGGATGGATGTTTAATATGTATTTTATATAAATATACTTATATGTGTATAATATATGTATTCTATCCGTTACCCTAGTATCCCATAACACAAGCCTTTACAGTGCTTACTTTGGGGCTAGGCTAATTGGTGTGAGTGTTGGAAATATTTATTTATTTATTATTTATATTTAATCGCACTGCCTCCACGATATGACATATAGCTCATTTGAATCACGACGTTAGACGCGAAGAAAATTGTGATATAATGTAAATTCTGGTGCTCATTCTACAGAGCTATATTATATGCTATAAGGCTGAACATGAAAAGACAAATTTGACAAATCAATTTTATTCATCTATTTCTATTCATCAGGTATAACAGGCGAGAACCGCAAAACAGCATTATTCACCCCGATGGAATGCTCGGCTTTCTCCTCAAACACAACTTGGACTCGGGTGGCTTGCGGACAACACCATTCCCTCGCTTTAGACTCACAAGGACAAGTGTACGCTATAGGTCGCTGCGAATATGGCAGGTGAGAGATTATGGGATAGATTGAACTGTAATAATACTAGGAAAACTTAATATATCATACCTCAATATAACGATTTCCTCGATTTAACATTTTCTTTGTAATCACCTTGAATTGTCCATAAGAGTCAATTTAAAATATACTTTTACATTGTGAACAACCTCTATGTTACGAATTTTCGACTATTAAAAAGTTTAATAATATAAAATCGCTGTGAGCATGGAGAGTACAGTGATACTTAAAAAAGTCAAAAATACTGTATTTGACAAGTTTTAGGAAACAATCACAACTTATTAACTAATGTTTAAGGAGTCCTTAAAAAGTTTTTTTTTTTCATTCTGTTCTGTAATTAAGATACAAAAAAATCTAAATTTAGTTTGCATGTTGCCGCGAAAACGATTCTCTGGACGTTATGGCGTCTCTCTAGTATGTGACGTCACACGACTGTCATTAAAACTTCGAACGATACAATGTAATGTCACTTTGACGGAATTTTACTAGCGTGTGACGTCAAGAATGACTGAGATGAAACGAATGAAAACGCCTGAAAAGACCTTCTGGTCTTGACCAATCCCAGGCGTTTTCGGTCACCTGACCATGAAGCAAAATAATAATTTCTATTTAATTATTTTAAAGAAAAATTGTTAATTATAATTTGTTCTTTCAGAATAGTTAAATCGCTTCAAATATTCATATTAAATACAGATTCCAACAATTATATTATTATTGGTGTCGATTCTGGCGTGGTTCTCTAAACTTAAAACTAAACTTAATATCAGTCTCTCCTTTTCATTCTGTATAGAGAATGACAGGGTTGCACTGTTGTCAAATTTAAGTTTAGCTTAAGAGAATCATGCCAGAATCGACATCATTATATAATTATAGGTACACAAACCTCACCAAGAGGGAAGGATTGTTAAAAAATGCCAAAAAAACGTTACGTCATTAATGGACGGCCCCTTATGCACGTTAAGGATAGTTTCTTAGTCATGTAGTTAATTTTGTTAATTCCTGATGTCGCACACAGGTTAGGCTTAGGCGATCGCGCGGGCGACGCAGAGATCCTGGAGCCGATCCCTAAACTGCAGAACCAACGCTGCGTCAGCATCGCCGCGGGGACCAGCAATTCCTTCGCTGTCACTTCCACCGGTAAATATGATAATTACAAACACATAATAATGGAAAAGGAGTTGTTTTTTTTTTTCGATTTATTGTAGTTATTTTGGGTACACTTGATAACAAAAAATTAGATCCTGCCAAACTGAGAACGTCAGTTGTTGGTAAGTAACTGCACTAAAACTAATTATATCACAAGTACACTACAATCTCAATAATACAAACACGACATATACACACGTTACACACATACACAGCAGCAATACGACAGGGAACCAGACATTGTATATATCACACACAGCATTCCACATCACCGCAACAATATGTTATATAGTTTTCAGTAACATATTTTTCATATTACATTTTAAAGATTGAGATTTGAAGTGAAACTTCTTTAGGCACGCTTAACTTGGGGGGTAAACTGGCGAATGTGTGACGATTTTTGCGTTACGGACGTAACGCGTAACCGATGATTCATCGGTATACAATGAACAATACCCGTCACAAAATACATGAATAGTTCATGAATCAAAATACTAGTGCTTGGTGGGTGATAACGGACCCAGCGCGGATTGGTGGATGATAACGGACCCAGTGCGGATTGGTGGGTGATAACGGACTCAGCGCGGATTGGTGGGTGATAATGGACTCAATGCGGATTGGTGGATGATAACGGACCCAGCGCGGATTGGTGGGTGCTAACGTACCCAACGCGGATTGGTGGGTGATAACATACTCGGAGCGGATTGGTGGTTCTTTTCCTATCAACAAATCTTCAGGTTAACTTTATGATTTTCAGATCGTTGGAGTTAAAGAAGTTTCACTTCAGTCGTGTGGTCATAAGCACACTCGCATTTTTTTCTAGTAAAATTTTGTTTAGATTGAAACAGTAATATCAAGTTAAGATTCTGAGCTGTTGTAGTCCGCGTTAGAGCCCTTTTACAAAATTGCGTCACTGCCGTACTGATCGGGCGCGTAGGTAGATCGCACTAGTAATATTGCATTTTACGGGTGATGTTTCGAGTCTTATAAAATAATCATTAATGAACTAATTATAAAAAAAATATAAATATTTCAGTGGATCCATAATGGTAGATTAGTTTTATGAAAGTTTTTGATAGTGATTCTATTTAATTCAATATCAAAATACGGGTAAACCTGTATTGTTTTTGATAAAATGCACGGAGGTTAGATGTTTTTTTTGATAATTAATGAGATGGAAAATCAAAATTCTAATACATTATGTTTCAACAAAAACATATTTCTGATGTCGTAGTAATTAAATTGATCTAATTTATTGAATATTATATAAAGATTCAGGCGTTTGAAATTGTGCATATTATCGTTTTTTTTTCGTAAACTAGCTGCTAGCACGATCAGTATAAAAAAAGGAAAATAGTATTTGCAAATATTCTACATTAACTTACAAAAGGAAGAATAAATCAACTGTATATTTCTATTGGAAATAGTCAAAATCGAAGGGGGTAAACGAGGCGCTCAAAAATTACTATTTTTGCAAAAAATGTTAAAGGGCCAGGGCTTGTTTTCCGGTTACTTTTCAAACCTAAATCAGTGTCAAGTACATTAGGAGCGTTATATTTAGGTTTGGCTCTACCTTAATCTTAAAAAAATGGGTGCGTGTACTTATGTAGGCGCGTGAGAAGTTATCCTTCTTTCGCATCGTTTAAAATTAGTTTTTAATTGCATGCAAATATTAATTACAATAAATTAATAAAAAGTCTGGAAAAGGACACAGTCAATAAAGTTCAGTTTTAATTTGAAAAAATAAATAAATAATCAAAATATTCAATTAAAATCGCTACTGAATATAATTTATTAGAACATATGTGATTTGCACTTGTATGAAACGCAAACACGTATTCCGAATATACAAACTAAAAACATGTGGATAAATATTATAAATATGAATACCTATAACTGTTACTTTATTACAAAAAATAAAGATGTGGTTTTTGGTTCTACTACACCAATGGTCAAGAGATGGCGCTGTAGTCTCCTGAATCGCGCTTTGGTTCCGTTGTTCCAGATAAATAAATACTTTTGATATTATAAATATGAATACCTATAACTGTTACTTTATTACAAAAAATAAAGATGTGGTTTTTGGTTCTACTACACCAATGGTCAAGAGATGGCGCTGTAGTCTCCTGAATCGCGCTTTGGTTCCGTTGTTCCAGATTAATAAATACTTTTGATAGGCCTTCACAATGCAGTCGTTAGCACCCACTAAATAGAGATTCTATTTCTATTTTGTTGGTAGATTTTCTTAATGTGCGGTAAACACAAAAGTAACGCATGAAGTTGGCCGCTAAAGCGACCAACTTCATGCTGTTAAAATTTTGTGTTACAGTGATGCGCGCGCATCTTAAAATTTCACTCTCATCATTTTTTCATAACGCGCCTAAAGAAGTATAACTTCAAAAACCGGTTTTCCTAAAAAGCGAAATTAAATAGGTTATGAATCAATTTAGCGGTTTTTAAAGGGTTTCATTTCGTTCTCACTGACGGCATCGATAATAAACGAATAACTTGACTCACTAGACGCTAGGAAACTTATCAATAAATGCATCGATCCCTGAGCGTTAACAAGCTATGACTCGACTAGTTTAAACAAAACAAATTTCAAGCGATGCCGACGCGTGCACGTGTCGCTTTGGATTAAACCGGTTTATTAAGGTTTAAGATACCGCTTTCATTTCGGACGCGCTCCGAACGAAACCTTTACTAAAAACCGGTATTAACCTTTATTTATATATATATTTATTTATTTATATGACCTACTGATCTTTTCATTTATGAGATATTTATTTAGTCTAGTTTAGTATTCTCATGTCTGTGGGGGTTTATGGCGCTGAATGCTGAAATACAGGCATCGCCTAGTTCAGCAGCAGAGGCTAATAAATTATACTTTCCATAACTAGTGCTAAGTTTGTTACGTAATCTTACTGTACTGATGGTGGTACTTTTTTGGTCAATAAAATCTTATTATTATTATTATTTACCGGTATTTTCGAAACCGGTTTTAAGCCCTGGAAAGGGCTCTCAATGAGTGTTTCACAATGGGTTATGGTCGCAGGGGAGGTGCTATCGTGGGGCATGGGCAGCGAGGGCCAGCTGGGCACCGGGACCAGTGCGGACGCCCCCTCCCCCACCACCGCGCCCGCCCCACCCGCGCGACACGTGTCCGCCGGGGGACAACATGCGCTTGTATTGACCGTGAGTATACCGTGTCGCGTGTCACGAGGCTGATCTGGGGGCCAATCGCCTAACGGAAATGCTTTGGGAAACGCTAACGCTTACGATTTTATATTGTTATTTCTAGCCGCCTGAGGTTTTCGAATACCTCACGCTCATTTTTTTTAATATTGTTATTACCAATGCAAAAGAAAAAGAAAGAGCGCGAGGCATTTGAATACCTCAGGCGGCTAGAAATAACAATATAAAATCGTAAGCGTTAGCGTTTTCCAAAGCATTTCCGTTAGGCGATTGGCCCCCTGGCCCGTTTTACTATATCGAGCCGTTACCGCCAAATTATCGTAAGCGACACTTTTGTCGTAATGCGTTTTTTGTGGAAACTAAAATTTTAAACCGTAACGGACCCATCTCTGTTGATATTTCCCTCCGAAAGAACACCGTTATAATATAATAGAGGGAAATATCGACAGAGATGGGTCCGTTACGGTTTAAAATATTAGTTTCCACAAAAAACGCATTTCGACAAAAGTGTCGCTTGCGATAATTTGGCGGTAACGGCTCGATATACAGTACATTCCGTTTATTATGACTTCGAAGGGAATCGACAAACACGTCATACTAAGCGGACGTTATACAAAGCGTTTTTGTGAAAAAAAATTGTGAGATGATGTTTGATTCTCCGTTTTCTAATCAGCATATTATTACACCTTTTTCCTCAGTCGTAAATGCTTTGCGACGTTGAGATGACATTTTTTTTACATAAGATATCACTAAAAACAAAGCTTGATGTTCAATTTGAATCAACGAACATTACCGTAGGTGTAAAGTACCATGTCGGTCACTATAAACGGACGAAATTGATTAAAAATGGGTCATTATAAAGCGACATGTCACTGTAAGCGAAGTCGTTATATCCGACATTGTTACAATGAATTTTATATGAAAACCAAACTTTGTTGTGTAATTACGTCATAATAGGCGGTTGGTCAATATAAGCGGAGTCATAATAAACGGATTCTACTGTAAATTAAAAAGTATAAATAAGGTAATCAAAATGAGGTTTTTTAATAATAGAGGGAGAGAACTAGCTAGATATCCATTTTCAGAGCTATTCTGAGTTTATGACACTGCTTAAAAGGGCTAACGCCCTTTAGCCGCTTATGCTTGTAGTTGGTGCTTCCATTTTTTTTATTGCTTTTTTTGTGTATTTGTGTGTCTGCTTATTTTGTGTTTTTTTTAACGCATGCTGTGGCTACCTTGATTGTAAGTGCAGTAAGCTATAAGCAATTTGAGCTTTGTTTGTACCAAGAACTGCTGTAACTTATGTTGGTGGCCCTTATAATAAATAAATAAATGTCAATAAAATAGATCTCTCCCTCTCACACACACGCTAAACACTATACTTCATTATACAAGCCTTTAAATAATCGCACTCGAACCAATGATATTAAATACCCTAGATACACCAACACGAAGAAAATCATGCCCAAAACCCGTCCACAAGGTACATTGGACGATCCACGGAGCTCCGTAAGATGATCACGTAGTCCAAACAATATAAGGTATTATTTAAACATTAAAAATCACCTTTAAAACATATTGTATAAGGTCTTAATTAAAACGCATTCGTCAAATAGTTATGACAGTGCGAAATGTAAGCTCGTAAAATGTTACGACTTATTGCTGTATGCCGAAGAATATAGACCTTATTTCTTTGACTCTGTTAGCAATATAGCAGGTACGGACCGCGAGAAAAAGAGACGGCTATATTACCGACCATGCGTTTCAATATTTTCTATTATATCAGCTTATAGTAAGTATTAAAACAAATTTTGCTTCAAATGCGTTAAATTAACAAACATTGATTAGATACCTGTCGGAAAAACGTCACATACGTTTACATACTAAATATTTTTTTTGTATGTTTTCACTGAGCTCAGCGGCATGTTGACTTTTCAACGGTCTGCGGGTGACTATGAACCAAAAGGTGCTTGAGTCGTTTTCAAGCACTTCTTGATTGGGACAAATTTTGAGCACACGTACTGTATCTAGGATATTTAATATCGTTGACTCGAACACTTTACTTGCACTTGGATCGCCTTTGTCGAAATCGCTGTTGAAACACAACTGTCTCTGCTCTGCGCCGACCGTGCTTATATACGCCATTCGACGCATTTTAGAAAAGTCCCGTTAAATTGTGTGTTAACTAGCACCTGCGAATGCGTAGTACCTACTTATACCTACGCAGGTAACGCGCATACATAAGTTGTAAACATATGAAGATGTCGTTGAACTATCTCCCTTACGCGGCACTGCAAAAGGCTCATATTAGAATGAGCGAGCGGTGTTCCGTTAAAATCTGTCTCCGGTAGTTTCGCGGTTTTGTTTCGAGAGCGTTTGTGACAATACCATCATCCATTCAACAGAGAGATTAGGCGTTGGATGAATTTATCATCATCCGTAATATAAATAACACTTTTTGTATTTATGCTATATGAGGTATGCTAGGCAGGTAAACAATTAATGTATATTTAATCAATATGTAATGAAAGGTGACTTCATGAATCATCTCTGAAGACATTTTTCAATTTGACGACTCTGTAAATAATAAAACAGGGAGAAAAAAAGCAGCCCTTGCTGAGTTTCTTGCCGGTTCTTCTCAGTACAAGGTCTCCCGCTCCCGCCGCAGATTTGCGATTGTAATAGCCTAGACTGGAAAACGATATTGAATTTTGTTTTTTTTTTTATTTTGATTGTATTTACCCCTAGGATGACCCAGCATTACAGAAGGAAGACTCGCCAGCACCAGAACAGGAGACGGCCGATGAAAAAGCTGACGAAGAGAAAGAAGAAGAGGAACCACAGGTGAGGATAAATACTTCACATTCATCAGTCTATTAATGTTCCCACTGCTGGGGCACAGGCCTTCCCTATGGATGGAATAGGGAGATTGACCCGTGACCCACCACGCGGGCCCAATGCCGATTGGTGGGTGCTAACGACTGCAGATACAGCCGGGGCCAACGGCTTAACGTGCCTTCCGAATAACGGAGGAGTGAGGATAGTAAATTTTTGGTCACCCATCCAATGACCGACCACTGCGAAAGTTGCTGAACTTCAACGATCGCCATCGAACTCTTCAATACACTCCACACTGTCAACTAAATCATTAATTTCTGTTTGTAAACATTATGCTTAGAAGAAGAAAAAAAGTAGTACAGTCGGCAAATTTCTTAAGCAAAACCAACCAACAAAACTTTTTTTTATATAAAATTGTTACTGCGCAAGTTTCCTTGTCTATGGTTTGTTGCTCAAGAATTTTGCTAGGATGTATAATGGGATGATGATAAACTCTTTTCCTCCTCTATCAGGTAGATTGTCAAAACCTATAAGAGACGTATTTTTTTTCTTTATTCACATAAGCAAAATATTGCACAGATACATTGATTTGAAACGTCTTGCTACAATTTTTACTTAGAAGTGACGTCACTAGCCCCCACTCCTAAATTCTGACTCTATCATTGTATTTATTTAACCGTCAATGACGATCTGATTGTAATGACGGCCGGGTGATTTGTAAAACTATATTTTTGGCTTCGGTATCGTTGTAGATCACAACCCCAAGTATTCTTTTAAAAAAATATTCAATGTACAGTTTTGACTTTCCTACCATTTTATTATATGTATAAATATATAAACTAAACATCCCATGTTGATTATCGTTCAGGTGCCTGAAAAAAAGAAGCCCCGAGGCACCAAGAGGCAGAAGAAACAAGAGCAAGAGGACGAAGTGTCTTCTACCTCAAGCGCTGCTCCACACTCCACTGACGAAGCTAAACCACAGGTCAGTGGAATAACATAAAATTGTCACATTATATATCTTCAACACATTTGCTCAAAAAATGCATTCATGGAAGTTGTATACAATGTTCGAAAGTTCAAAATTACGCGCCGTACAACGGAACGAAATTATAACTATACTAGCTGACCCAGCGAACTTCGTACCGCCATAAAAAAATAGGGGTTGGTGGTAAAATATTGAAAATTTAGGGATGTATGTAGTTTTGTATGATGTATCATAAAAAAATTTAAAAAAATGGGGTGGATTACCCTTAACATTTAGGGGGATGAAAAATAGATGTTGTCCGATTCTCAGACCTACCCAATATGCACACAAAATTTCATGAGAATCGGGAAAGCCGTTTCGGAGGAGTTTAACCACAAACACCGCGACACGAGAATTTTATATATTAGATATTGTGGGTGTACAATGAAACCAATCTGGACGTACGGGGTTCAACTCTGGGGCACAGCCTCTAACTCAAACTTAGAAATACTTCAGAGGTTCCAATCCAAGATGCTAAGAATAATTACTAATGCTCCATGGTATATATAAATATAACAAATCAACAATTACACCATGACCTTCAAATCAGAACAATAGGGATGATGACTATTTTTTTTTTCTTCGTTTATCAGGTAGATTATCAAAAAGTATTGGATACCTATTTTTTCTTTTTTCACATAATATAAATATTGCAGAGGTATATTGATTTGAAAAGTCGCATGACGTCACGTTTTGGTACAATTTTCACTTAAAAGTGAAGTCACGAGCCCCTACTCCCAAACTTTGATGCGCTATAACTTTGTCATTTTTTGGTTGATAGCCCAAAGAAAAAATACGTGTCCATTATTTTTTGATCATCTAACTGACGGACTAAATAGAATTTCGTTTACTGTACCCCGTCATCACCCCTACTCAGGAAGAGATCAAACACGCAATGAAATCATACAGGAATAGACTAGACAATCATACTAGCTACGCACTTAATGAATACTGATTCAACTTTCAAAAGACTAAAATGTAAGTCCCACAAAGATTTATAGGGAACATGTTTTATGTAATAATGGGTTTATGTCACTGGACTGACTGCCCTTCAAGATAAAATGCTCTACTCTAAACCAGATGCTGAATAAAACTAGTTTTAACGGATTACTGCTTTATTTATTGACTTTTCGCAGCCTTTTCAGGTCTGCATTGTCAGAATAATGATTTACTTTGTCGAGCTACCTTTGAAAGACTTTTATTGAGAGTTCCGATATTTCATTTGAAGATTTTTAAAACTTTATTGTACCATAAACTACCACCGAGTAGTTAGGGTCAAATAAATAAACTCAAACTTAAAAAAAGAATTTTAAATAAAGTACTTTATTAACTAATGAATTCATATTTAGACAATAAAGTTTTAAAATCTTCCAATGAAATATCCGAACACTCAATAAAAATCTTTCGAAGGTAGCTCGACAAAGTAAATAAAAAATCATTATTCTGACGATGCAGACCTGAAAAGGCTGCGAAACGTCAATAAATAAATAAAGTTCGTGCATTAACCCGTTAAAACTAGTTTTATTTTAATGAGTGATGTGTGTGAAGACCTAAGAAACAAACAGATACTGAATGTTCGCATGGAACAGATTGCAGAATAAAAAGTTGAAAAAAAAACATATTGTTGAATATATTGGCATTGGCCTGCCATAATGGGTGGCCTACTATTTCTTACTTCGTGTTTCGGAAGGCTAACGCTAAACCATTTGTCCCTGTTGCAGTTGTTAACATCAACAGGGAAGGCCTGTGCCCCAACAGTGGGGTATTAATAGACTGGGGATGATTTAAAGGAATATGACAAACTTTGTTCTTTGTCAATCAAAAAGTATTGGTCACCTATTTTTTTCTTTTTCATAGATAATGAAAACATTGTAGAGATATATTGATTTGAAACGTCGCATGACGTCACGTTTTAGTACAATTTTTACTTAGAAGTGACGTCATCCAATCTTTGTCATTTTGTTGGATTATTGACAAAAGAAAAATAGTTGTCCATATTTTTTTGATAATCTAACTGACTGACAAAATTGAATTTATTCGCCCGTCATCATCCCTTTATGATAATGTTATAAGATTTGTGTTTTAGTTTATTTTATTTTATTCAAAATAGGGGAAAAAGCCGCGATCTTAGTCATCGGTGCGCCACGACCGACCGAAAAGGCACGCCCACATTAAGTTTAATGTTCAATTAATAGTTGTTATCATAGTAACACCAAACACTAGTGTTTTAAAAGACTCCACATTTCTTGATCTCAAAATTTATCTATAAAAAGTTCATAATTTTGATTATTTATACGCCTAGATAGAACATTGCAAATGAATCACGCAAAGAATACGGCTCGTGTTACGCGCATGTGTAGCGATGAGCATATCTACCATATGTGGTAGATATTTTTGTGCCACTTACGTGCAGTTATTACGGTATCTAGGGTGTATATAATCAATGGTTCATAAAAAGTATATACTTATCATTATTTCAGACTTACAAACTGGGTTTAAAAACCTTTTAAAATATATTCAAAATCTTGCACTTGCTAAATGGTTACTTGATAATTTTGGTGTTACCATATTAAAAAAAAAACTCGTAGAATGAGTCTTTTAGAACCTTACCGCAAACATTTAATTGCCATAAACCTAGAAATTATCTTGATACTGTAAGTTTTAACTTTTCGTAATTTGCTTAGAGGCCCAAGCCCAAACTTTGAGGTCGGCACTTCACTTGGCTATTTGTTCACTTGACAACCGGTCCTTATAGTAGGGGAACCCAAGGATTTTCGGATTAACATAACCACGGTAATATTATCTATCCAGTATTCTATCTTCATACAAACGGTCGGAAAGCGAGTCATACCTACGCCACTCTGTTCACGCGACTCTCGGTGGGCACCCAGTCGCGAATGCGCCGCAGCGATGACCGAACGGTGTGAATTGTTTTTTATGCAGTTAGCCATGCTTAAACGTGCGATTTGTATTGTAAATATTTGATTGAATTAAGTAGATATCTACATAATTTAATATGGCAAAGAACAATAGACGATATTGTGCTATTTCTGGTTGCTTGAAATCTTCAATAACGCACCCAGAGATATCATTTTTTAAATTACCTGAAATATTGCAAAGGTCAGACTACAGAATAATTTTTAATATACCTATCTACTAGTACGTAATTTGTTTTTAATATTTACGTATTTCGATTTTTCCATCGGGCAAAATATCTGGAATAATATATAAATAAATGGATAGGGTGAAAAAAGAGACAAACGAGTAATCTACCTACGCTCGCGTTAAAAACAAAACTACATAATAGGTAGGTAGTTTCCTAGACGCTCTAAGAAGAATAAAATGAACTTTTGAGTTTAACTATCAACTTATAACGTCAAAATAGAATATTTACTATCTCAAAACTAGAAAGAAACTCAATTATGTAGATGAAATTAAAATACAGTAGGCGGGCAGCCCTACCGCATGGATACGCCCCGCTCGGCCGTAGACAGTTATTTCAAGGATATGGCCGAGTCACAATACTGTATAGATAATATTACCGTGACATAACCCTCCAGTACCTCCTATTCAAAAGACTGACGATTTGGACGAGAGCACAAGTGGCGGTTTGTTGAAATAGTTTTTTACAGCCCCAGACGTTCGTCAATACATAAAGGGTTCAGTACCCTTAGTACGAGTTTTACAATTACGAAAACTATGATGGTTTTCGTGAGCTTGCACTCATTGATTTTATTGTTTCTGTTTTAATAGAAATAAACAGTGTTTAAATTCTATCATTAAATCATTTACGTCTTCTTAAATTTTAAGTATATTTGGTTACTTTTCACCAAAATGGACATAGAAACATAATTTACAATTGCGAAAACTATGATAGTTTTCGTGAGCGCAAACTCGTACTAAGATCTCGAAAAATTCCCGCTTGGGTTCCTCCACTATTATCATGCTCTATTAGGAATGAAAAAGACAGAATGATGTCAAGTTTACAAACAGTCAAACATATTGTCAAATCGTCATAGACAAATTTTGTATGGAAGGAGCCAGTCTGTTCTTACGTCCGGTAGAGGCGCTGCTCAGTTTTAATGGAAACTTTGACGATGCCGATACGAGTACGGAGCTGTCAAAGTTCTGCGGCCTCGGTTTAGTGAAATAAATTTTAAATGAGTACCGAAATTGAGACGATTTTCTATGTTTCTTTTTTTTGGGTTAGTTGGTCAACAAACAGTTTTACAATAAATCTTTTATCAAATATAATAACACCTGTCCCCCTAGCATGACCACCGAAACGGGATGTGATAAAGCGATATATTTATTATCGGCATTAACTGTAAGACTGTAAGATTAACTATCATTACTGTGGAGTTTGACAGTAGTCCTGACAGTTAATGCCGATATATCGCTTTAACATAGGGGCCGTTCACGTAAGCACCATAAGGGGGCAGGGGGGTCTTTGCTTTGCTTATTTTTGATGACATGGGGGGGGGGGGGGTCGAGATAGTGATTACGTCAGCATCATTGATTCGGGTGCCATGGACTGAAGTCTGTTAATCGGAATTAATATGTATACCAAAAATTCGAAAGAAGTTTGTTTTGTTCGTAATAGTACTTAATCTCTTATCTATTAGACAAGTCCGTCCGTCTGTCTGTCTGTGGTGCTGTTTCAGCGGCCAAACCGTAAGAGATGGATAAAGAGAATATTTAAGTTATAAGTTAAGAATAGTCTGATAAGACTACAAACCGGATTTGAGTAACGTAGCACTTCCGGTTTTCGAGAAATCACGAATTTCAATCGAAACCACACAAAATCTCCGAAGTTCTAAATTAATTAAATACGTTTTTTTTTAAATCAGGTTTTGGTGAACATTTGGTTCACTGGTTTGCCAGTAAGATTATAATGTCTGTACCTTACTCAATGTTAAATACTGTGTCAATTAAGTTTGTTAAAATGAATATTATGAGCATTTAAGTCCTCTATCCTAAGCCTATTTAGGTACTGCTGCTCATGAAGCTCACGAAAGCTCATGAATCAATAGAAAAAACACGAATACATTAAAGGAAAAACGCATATATAAGTTCCAATGTTTAAGTAAGCATGGGAGGGGGGGGGGGGGGGGTAAGAGCTTTGCTTACTTTTGCTGACAAGGGGTAGGAGGGGTTAAATAATTGTAATAAATCTGCTTACGTAATACTTGAACGGCCCCTTATCCCGTTTCGGTGGTCATGCTAGAGGGGCAGGTGTTTATAATTGCAAAACCAAACCCGTTAACAACAAGAAGACAATGTTCGTTGAGAGTAACTATGTGAAAAAAAGTTCTTACATGAAAAAAATGACAGAATTCAAAATTTCCCCTATTTTGTATACAATAAAAATACTTCATACAAAATTATTCTTCTAAATATACTATTTATACTCGAATTTCGTCTAGGTATAGTTCTTATTGCATACTGCTGTAGGTTTATGGCATTTAATTGAACGTATTAATAATTTAATGGGACATTTGTAGTTACAAATTAAGTAAATAGATGTATTGTTATCGTCACAAGGATTTGTGAATAAAGGGAGGTTGTTTAATGAAATGGGTGTTAATTATAACCGTATTAGTTTATTAACTATTAAGAATTTATGAGTATGATTATTTTATTACGTATAGTATTTTAATGCAAGGACTTCACTTGGCTATTCGTATTTGCTATTTGTGAACTTGACAACAGTCTCCTTATCGTGCTCTGAACAAGCGGCCGCCCGCGACTTTGTCCACTTTAAGTTTAGTTTCATTTTTCAAATCCCGCAGGAACCTGACACTGACCTGTACGTGATAACAAGTATCCTATGTCCCAATCCAGGTCATAGAGTATACGTAAACTAAATCTCATCCAAATCCGTTCAGAAAATTATGCGTGATTGAATAACAAACATACAAACTTTCACATCTAAAATAATAACCATAATCAGCGAGTGTTATAATAATAATTAATTTATTTCGACCCCAAAGATCATAGCATGACAATGTAATAATATATAGTAATAATTATAATAAAGAAATTGAATAGGGTATTTGACAAGTTTTAGGAAACGATCTCACGTTATTGACTAATGTTTATGGAGTCCGTAAAAAGTGGATATTCATCATTCTGTTGTGTATTTCGGTAAAAATAACCAAATCAAAAACTCCAATTTCAAGTTGCCGCGAAAAAGTTTCTCTGGACAAAATGGCGTCTTACTAGTGTGTGACGTCACATGACTGTTATTAAAACGTCAAACGATACAATGTAATGTCATTTTAACCGGTAGTTTGCGTTTGACGTCATTTTAGGCTCCGCCCATCTCAAGCGTGACAATAGATAAGAAAACTATTATTTTTTCCGTGGGTTTTTATTAAAATTATGAATTTTCTAAACACAGATGCTAACAATTGGCACTTTATTTTTAATACTGTCAAATACCCTATTACAACTCATGATTCAATTACAATAGATAAACTAAAAAAAATATGGGTGCGTGTACTTACGTAGGCGCGTGAGAAGTTATCCTTCTTTGGCATCGTTTAAAATTAGTTTTTAATTGCATGCAAATAATTAATTACAATAAATTAATAAAAAGTCTGAAAAAAGGACACAGTCAATAAAGTTCAGTTTTAATTTGAAAAAATAAATAAATAATCAAAATATTCAATTTAAATCGCTACTGAATATAATTTATTAGAACATATGTGATTTGCACTTGTATGAAACTCAAACACGTATTCCGAATATACAAACTAGAAACATGTGGATAAATATTATAAATATGAATACCTATAACTGTTACTTTATTACAAAAAATAAAGATGTGGTTTTTGGTTCTACTACACCAATGGTCAAGAGATGGCGCTGTAGTCTCCTGAATCGCGCTTTGGTTCCGTTGTTCCAGATTAATAAATACTTTTGATAGGCCTTCACAATGCAGTCGTTAGCACCCACTAAATAGAGATTCTATTTCTATTTTGTTGGTAGATTTTCTTAATGTGGGGTAAACACAAAAGTAACGCATGAAGTTGGTCGCTAAAGCGACCAACTTCATGGTGTTAAAATTTTGTGTTACAGTGATGCGCGCGCATCTTAAAATTTCACTCTCATCATTTTTTCATAACGCGCCTAAAGAAGTATAACTTCCAAAAATATTAAAAATATTAATTCGGATGAAAAGGACAGACTAATCCCAAGTTTACAAATAGCATACACGAAAAGCGAAGTGTTGGCATCCGATTGTATTTAATGTTTGTGTCGCCCTGTTCTTGGTATCAATATATGTTTTAGTATTAATTTTGTAGATAGGGGTGTTGGGTAATATAGATATTGGCTGGTACATTTTAAATAGGAATATAACTTATACTTTCATTTCAGAAGGTGAATGGTGACGAGAAAAAAGAATCGGCCATGGAAGTAGATGAAACTGGTAGGAATACACTATAAGCTCTTTATAACCCCTCGTCATATCCTTAGAATGTGTTAGCAATATGGTGCTTAAAACCCTGTCATTGTCCATCCATTTTGTTTTTCACGGCCAATTTTCCTCTTAAATACGAGTTCTATTGTACATCCAGGCCTCATTTATTTCTTAATTCAATCCTGAATTTATATTCAAATTATTATGTGTAAAATAAAATGAAATTTGTTCGAGGAGCTCGATGGCGCCAGTGGTTAGCGCGTTCGGCTGCGGTCGTTGAAGTTGAGCAACTTTCGCAGTGGTCGGTCATTGGATGGGTGACCAAAAATTTACTATCTCTCACTCCTCCGTGCTTCGGAAGGCACGTTAAGCCGTTGGTCCCGGCTGCATCGTCAGTCGTTAGCACCCACCAATCCGCACTGGGCCCGCGTGGTGGGTCATGGCCCAATCTCCCTAATCCATCCATAGGGAAGGCCTGTGCCCCAGCAGTGGGTACATTAATAGGCTGATGATGTTGATAAAATTTGTTAAATACGTTTTAATACCGACAAAGGTATTACACCAGTAAACCGGTTTGACTCCCGATCGCGTCAATGTAGAAAGTAAAAGTGGTCGGTCATTGGATGGTTGGCCTAATATGTATTATCTCTCACACCTTCGTGCTTCGGAAGGCACGTTAAGCCGTTGGTCCCGGCTGCATATGCAGTCGTTAGCACCCACTAATCCGCTCTGGGCGCGCGTGGGCCCAATCTCCCTGTTCCATCCATAAAGAAAGTGTGTGCCCCAGCAGTGGGGGCAGATTATTATGGTCAAAAATATATTTTCATCAACATTACAGACAAAGCGCCAGAAACAGAAAAGAAAGAAGAGACACCCACAGAAGAACAAAAGGATATCACAGAACCGGAGAAAGTCGAAATGGAGACCGAATCCAAAGAGGAATCCAAACCGGAGACAACAGACACTTCGAGCCAAGAGACCACGGACAGCGACACCAAGTCCCAAGAGACCGAGAAGAGCGAAGACAAATCCAACGATGTGGAAATGGCAGAGGAAAAGCCTGAAGTGAACGGTGAACCTGAGACGGTGGAGACGAAGACCGTTGAAGGCATTCTACCGACCACTACGCCTTTGACGACCACAGCGTGATGGTGAGTTTCTTTAATGTAAGTAAAAGTAAAATCTGAACACTGTAACGTAGATGTGAAACTGAATTTTGTCTTCGGTGATTATTTTGCTATATCTAGAACAGACTGAGTTCTACTCGTTTTCTATTAATGAAAATTTTTATCAAACGTGGTTTCTGTTTCAAAGTTGCATAATTATGTCCTTATTAAAGTATTTAATTCTTTTTTAGCTGTCCTGGCTACTGCATTTACAAAGATATGTATTTGAATGATTCTTTCGTTACGTTTAAAGGTATTCCGTCTGATGATAACTCAATGTCGAAGTATGTCAATATTTTTTTGTCATTTTTATATGCAATCGCTGTACACTATAGAAAAAATAAAACTTTACCATTTAAGAACAAATTTGCTGGAGTTTGATCTAATTTATGGAAAAGAACTGGTATTGATTAAAATTGAGTTTAATATTTTTATGCCTTAAAAATTATTATCAATAATTTAACATAATCAATGATTGATTTCAAAAGAATTAAACTTTTTGATTCTTTACATTAAATTATACATTTTCGTAACTCTGTTTGTGTCTCCTTCAATAGAACTGTGGTATTGTTTCTGTTAAATGTGTTTGTGATTTCAAAGTTAAGTCAAGGAAGTTAGCATCTCCCACTTTCGAAATGTGATTGCATGAACAAGAAATTATGGGAGGAAATTAAATTAACTATCAACATATACTGCGTGCATGTTTTAAGTTAAAAACTAAGGGCACGAAACAATATCGAATTCGAATAGTTTGCGAGTCCGGAATGTCACCGTCTAATTTTGTATGGAAACTTGAACAGCAGCGCCACAAAGTACGTAACGAAAACTAAAAATCATTACACATTTGACAATGACATTTCGGACTCGCAAACGTTACGAATTCGATATTGGTTCGTGCTAAGGGTACGGTTATAAATGAAAATATATATAAACTATTGACAGTGAACTGCTATCATTGCAATGGAAATGTCGGATCGAAAATGTCAAATTTGTATATGTATTTTTACTTGATTTTACTATAATAAAATAATTAATAACGCCTGAAAGATTCGTATCATTATGTATAGTTTTTTAATGTTCTCAATCCGATTTCTTAAGTTTTCGAACAAAAATCTATATTTTTATTTTATCTTCTTAAATGGCATAGCAAAACAACAAGCTTGATTTACAGCCTAGCTGTCAAATTCAAGGAAGACAGAAGGAGAAGTCTTATCTAACTTCTGGAAACAGTGAAAGTTGCATTTTACTTATAAACATTCAGAAAAAATAAACGCGAAGTCAGTTTCATATCTACACATAAATTATAAAAATGTAATTTATGACATCGCCATGTGAGGCGGTGAACTGTTCTATTGCTCTGTGAAGTGTTGAGACCCGCGTTGTAAGTTAAAACACCAGTTTCCAATTAAAAGTAAGCCACAATCAAACAAATATATCGCATCGTTTGCAATAGAAAACACAATTTAGTAGTTAAATGTTAGCATAATTCCCAGTTTTGACTCAAAACGCAGGGCCCTCACTCCCAAGTAAACTTGATTACCGCACGTAATCTGTATTTTTGACACCCGTTTTAGTTATTTTATTTTTATTATTATAATTATTGACAAAATGGAATACTTCACGAACAAGAAGTACTTAAAAAGTAACAGCAGACAGCCACTCCTTTGTAATGGAATGTAATTTAGAAATTTAGCAGTTAAAGAATTTAATTTATGGCAACACTGTATGATGATTTTTGTATTTGTGCAATGTCACACTGAATATTTTTATATATTTATGGGATTCGGTATTTTAGTAACATTTATACCACATGATGATAATTGTCTGAATTTTGTGTATATTAATGCTTTGTTAATGTGACGATTTGAATTTTGATCAACTTTCTTTGCACTGGAATCTGTTATTTTTATATAATGTTTTCTGTAAGTTAGCAAGCAAGTCTGAAATGTAAAAACTGCGATTGTAGAACGTCCTTTTCTTTTCATAGATTTTACTGTAATTTATCAATATAAAAACTTATAAATGAATTTAATGACTTATCAAAAAAACCAATTTCTGTTTAATTTATTTTAGAAATTCATAATAATTTTGGAGAAGCTGAGCACCTAAAATTCAGTCCTCCTGCTAGTCTCATATTTTTATCCTTTTGTTCTTCTGTTAAAAGATTGTTGTGTGGAAATATTTACTTCAATGAAAAAGGTAATTCACAATCGCTACAATCTATTACAAATAAATCACACTTTATGAGTTGTCTGCGCTATAAAGGGGGGTCGTGGTTTCAAATCAATATTATATCATTATTTTGATTTGACAAAACTGTTTGGAAAATTCCTGTTGTTTCGTCCTTGTTTTTCGTAATTTTTATGACATTGTAAATTATTATATTGGAGTTTTTACTTTGTGTGAAGATTACGCGCGTAAGTACCAAGTTACATGCAATGTAAAAATATCTTGACTACTTTTAGTAGTCGAACCTTTTTATTAGATTTGAGGTTGCTAGTTAATAAATATTGATATAAATAATTAAGTGGAAATGTCGAGTGTATGCATGTCTCTAGACTGGTACAAAAAAAATATTCGGGAGCATAGTTTTTCATAAGTATTTTTAGCAGTAAAAGAGATCGGTAAGTTAAGCAGACATTTTGTTGAAAAATTTTTTTTTTTATTTTATAGAAAAGTTTCCGTGCATGATTATTCTATTGAAGTACAAAAGTACAACTTCTTTCACGCGACGCTATTATTTCTTGATTGTTAAAATAAAGATGAAGTATAATGTATTGTGTTTTCCTAATAAAATTGTAGTGTACAAATTGTGTTTTATTTGATTTTTGTTGGGAAAGTCCACATTTAGCCATTCAATGCTCATTTTAGACGAAAATTTTAAATATTATTATTTTATCACTTGATAAGTATTGAACTGAATCAAATTATAATTATTTAAAAAGCTAGATACCTAGTCGAAAGAAAACACCGAAGTTTATTGAAAATTTATTACTAACATTTCTAATTTGGTACAAATATTAAGATACAATATTGAGCTTTAAATTAGGTGGTGATTAACAGTTAGGTGTTGTTTTTACCTATTAAATTCAGAAATAAAATTACAGGTAACAAAGAAAATTGCCTCGAATGTATTCCATTATATGTACGACGCGGAAACATAATATTGACTGTTTTTCATTCCAAAAAAACAGTTATTATGTGTATGAGAAAACACAGCGTGTATGAAGAATCGCGCAAATTCCCCAGAACATATAAATATATAAAGGGATTTACGCGTATGTCTTCAGTATAATTAAACAAATAATTCTTTCACCCATCAACAACTTTTTAATTTAATGTAAATAATAGGTTATTTTTGTCCCTGTAAATTTATGCATTAAGATTTCTTCAGTGGTGACTCCCTCAGGATTTGGCCAATATCTAGTGTTTGTGTCCAAAATTTCTTGTCTAGGTTTGTTCGGTGAGGGCTTGTTTATTGTTTTTAACTCTGCTTATGCTGCGGAAGGGCTTTGTGCAAGTACAAGGACCTAGGATTAGGGAAAAACAGAAAGGTTAAGGTATAGTATGTTGAGCTACCCGCAACAATAAGTAATAAAGCTGAGAGATAGAGTACCAGTGAAACTATATCTACAATTTTATATTGTTAGAATCAATATATATACACAAAATCTGAATAAACTAAAGATAATATAGTTGTAAAATCTGTAGGAAGAATGACATGTGACGGAAGCAATGAATATAAGGAATGGCTATTTTTGGAGCAATTGAAAAAGATGTGATCTGTGGTACCCTCGTTAATACCACACTCTCGCAATGAACTGTCCCTCAACCAAATTTTTTTTTTTACCAAAAAATTTTGTAAATGCCATGAATTCACAATGACAGCTGTCACTAAGATGCTTCAAAGACCAAGGACGTGGTACCATTCAGCCTTATTGATGGGTGACAGAATTATTTGTTTCATTATACTGAAGACCGAATCGGGGAATTTGCGCGCTTCTTCTTCGCTGTGTATTTAGGAAACACATTATACATTAGTATTCTATGGAAATGAATGGCAACATTTATAAACACATTGTGCATAGTGAAGACGGAATGTAATTTTTAATCAGATTTATACCAATCCTAGTGGTACAGTCGGCAAAGCATTCAAGTTACCAGTATACAATTTTATCAACTGTGGACCTTAATCCAGCAACATAAAGCTAAAAGTCGGTTGGATATATTTGACAGTTTTGGAAGTCTGAAAGAATGTTAAATGTAAGTAAAAGTATCGAAGCTGTATACATTAATGAATACAGTGTATACCTCAATGAAGACACAGGAAAAAAATGCTTTTATTCTCAATAAAATCCTTAAGTAGTCTAGTTTTTTACAAAACAGTGACAAGCATATAAAACCGTACAAAGCACAGACGAGGTCTTAGGGCCTGCGCTGCGTAAAGCGGGAACACGCAGCAATTTCATGTCGCAGCGCTGAGACGGAGACCGCCTCACGCAGCGCTGCGACATTAAACAAACACGCGGAGTGGACGTCCACTCCGTCCTCCAGCTTAACGCAACTCAAGCCCTTATTGGTGGGTGTGATCTGACACTCACATGTAGCCATATGTAATTAAAAAAAACTATCCATCCCAGCCCTTAGCCCTTATTTTTCAACTCGTGGCAGAAATCATCCACTTATGCACACAAGTGGTTAAACTTCTCTCTTTCAAACAAATGAAAGATTCCAAAATCATTGACACATTCTATTTGGTCTCAACGTCAATGTTATTATCGTGTGAAATTAATAATTACATGCACTTTATCACCTGGTCACAAGGTTTTGTATTACCTTCATCGTTAATCAATATTTGTGTGATCGGATTCCCAACTAAAGTCCCAACTTTTAGCAAGGATTTCAATTAGGGCATGAAACATATTATAATGGTAGTCAAAAGGCATTTTATTTTCAGTAAATTTCATAGAAAAAGGTCACAGTCACATAAATATTATCAATTTTGTTTTTCATTTTTCTGTATTGTGCGTATTATAGAAATAAACGGAGTCCAAAATGTTAATATTGAATCATTTCATATGAAAATAATTTATCACTGTACGTATAATTGTTATGAATCTTACAAAATACATTAGGTATATCATATTAAGTAATATTATTATGTCCAAACTGTTCCTCGAACATTTGCCTCGCACTTTTCAAATTGACATGTTTTGATATTTCCATTTTAAAAAATTTTGTCTGTATATTTATTATATTGGAGTTTCGACTTCTCTGCGTGAATTCAGAAATGAGATTCTTTGGAAAAGTTATTCGACTGATATTTTTACATAACACGTAGTACTTTTCGTTATCAATTAGTAATAACATGTAACGTCACAAATCAAAAATATGACATGTGACTTGATAGTTTCATACGATTAATTGAAAAACAGCAATTTAAGAACACATTAAATCATCTTTTGCTAAAGGAAATGAAATTCAAAAGTAAATTAATACTATGCCATTTTACATACGAACACAAATTACCATCAAATTAATACATCTCGTGTCGTTAAAGAAAGAAATCGAAAAATCTGACGCGACTTTCTGTCTCTCTCGCACGTTACTTAGGATAGCATGTGCGAGAGGGACATAATGTCTTACGTCTTCATTTGCGATTCATTCTTTAATGACACGAGCTCTTACCAAAACATCATTATCCAATTATAAATATTTGTCTGTCGGTCGTTATATCTTTCGACGCCTGCTTAGATCTAAGAGACACACAGTTCAGTCAATAGGCTGTATTTAAGGTATCATTTCAATTGCCTTTTCCTCCTCAATTTTCTCAAATGTTTCCTCCGTTAAAGAGAAAAAATTCAAATGAATGTCAGACGTCTGTATAATGTTACAGTAAACAAAAGGCTCTTATTACAGAATGACAACTAAATGTTGATCTTTACTTGAGTACAGTAAGAAAGGGATGTCGCTATGTGATATATATAGATAGTATCATCCTTTTCTGACTATGCTCAAGACTAGATAAATTACTGAGAATCTTTCTATTAAAGGGGCCTTTAAAGGATATTAAATGATATATTCTATACAAAGATAATTTTTTATAATGAAACAAGAGTCAAAACCCGTTAGTTATACTTTGTTTAAAGTAACATAACCTTTGAAATAAAAATAAGTATGCATCACTCATTTCTGAATCCACTCGTAACAGACACACGGTTGACTAAATATAAGCGTGGCCACCCATCATCATGCCGACCGGGATAAGGTTGCTGTTCACGTCATATCACTCTTCCCCAATCTCCTCGTCTTCAGCATCTGGAAAAGGATATTGTGTGAGAAAGACATAAGGTATAAGAGGATTGTTATCAAAAATCTAAATCGGCGGGAGACCTTTTGCTGAGATGAACCGACAAGAAAAGACTATTAGACTTGGTACTATTTTGGAATTTTGCGCTCTGCCACTTGGCGAACAAAATGCTTTAAACGGTTTTCTACAGTAGTCTTTACTACGCCCCGCCTTCGCGTCGGACGCGCCAATCCGGGCCGCCGCACAAAAGTAAGACAGAGAGCATTTCATTGATTGAATAATGAATTGAATTGCATTTGTTTTAGTTGCAATTTGTCATCCGCATCGTGATCGCGACAGCGCTATACGAAAAAGTAAGACAGCGATAATTACATGTCTATGAATGAATTTTTACTACGCCGCTACCGCAAGCGATTATGGCATTATGGGTGACAGAGAGGGTCTTTCCGTGAGTGTACCTCAATATGAGTGCCAAACTTCCTGGAAAAGAATTTTATTTTTTATTAAACATTTAACTACTAGATGTTTAAATCTAAAGAAAATTTTACTAGAAAAAATCCACACGGCCCAGGCAGCAGACGAGACTCGAACCCGCAAAAACCCGGCGTATATACCACTCGCGACACGTACGGAGGTCGTCATTTAGATAGATAAATCATTTATAAGCAAATCAAAACCAATCATAATCAATAAACGTTTATTGTTATTTGATTATTACCAGTGCCGTCTTTGACCTATTGGAGGCCCTGCCCCTCTAGCATGACCAAAGAAACGGGATATGATAAAGCGATATATCGACATTAACTGTCAGACTACTATGGAGTTTGACAGTAGTCTGACAGTTAATGTCGATATTTTATTTATTTAAACTTTATTGCAACATAACACAGCAAATGGCGGACATAATGCCATAAGGCATTCTCTACCAGTCAACCAGTAAGAGCGTGAGAAAAAACTAATATGACGATATATCGCTTTATCATATCCCATTTCGGTGGTCATGCTAGAGGGGCAGGGCATATTAGGATAATGGGGCCCCTTTGACTTCCGTTTGGTGATTTAACAGGAACTAGGGACTTTGTATCTGATCTGAGGGGGCCTCCTATCGATCGCGGGGCACTGGGCACTTGCCCAAAGTGCCCACTGGGAAAAACCTACCTTTCTTGAGTGTGTATGATGTTGGTCGCAGATGACCTTTACAGCGTCACCGGGTTTGGGGACGGCGAGATCCTAAGGGGACCTCAAGCCGAGAATTGGTGAGTGCCTCTGGAGATATTCCAGGTGGATGGCGTCTCCCCGGGGGGAGTCTCCACTAAGCCTAGAGCCTCCAGACCACTCGAACCTGAGGGGGTCGGCTCAGCTAGAGGGCGTCTCTAAGACTCGGACCTCGGGTCGTTAGCCGTTGTCGTGCCCCCCCCCCCCCCCCCCCCCCAGCTGTCATTACCTACCGTGATAGTGTTGCGCCCCGTTGTGGTCGAGCCGCAGCTGCCTCAGCCTGGCGGCCGCATCGTCGCCTCCACTCTCTTCCGCGTCCTCGAATTCCTCCTCGCCTATACAAACATATATCCTTGTAACCCTTAGATTAAAACAAAAAGGGTAGATACGGTACGCTCATACTAGCATCAAATAAAATATGCTCCGACTCAACTACATAAGCAACTGTCGCGTGCGTACGTCTGTAAATAAACATTCAATCGAGCGAGCGAGACAGAACTGCACCCTTAGCACGAACCAATGTCGAATTCGTAACGTTTGCGAGTACGAAATGTCATTGTGAAGTGTGTACTGATTTTTAGTTCTCGTTACGTACTTTGTGGAGCTGCTGTTCAAGTTTCCATACAAAATTTGACAATGACATTTCGCACTCGCAAACTATTCGAATTCGATATTGGCTCGTGCTAGGGGTACTGTACGCTTCAACGCAGCGCGAGCGATACGGCGAGTCCGCGTCGCTTGGCAAGCGACTGCGTTTTCTGTCCTCTCTCTCTCTACAAACGGCTGAGCTGTATTGTTGTCCTTTTCTTGATAACAAATGGCGAATACGTAAATAACATTCATGACAAACTGGGATTATTTAATTATTTTTTTACGAATAAGTGTTGCCGTGATATTCGTTATTTGATCTTGAACTATTTTTGTTCTTTTTTAAAGCATCGAGGAGATTATCTTTATAACACAGAATATACGCAATATTGTTATATTGAGTGCACAAGCAGCGTGTTTGGATGTCAAATTGTGACTAAAGCGAATTGTGTTTATGCACCACAATTTAAGCGGTACACTTTAGAGCCGCGAATGCCGTATCTTCGCTTTTTGTTTTAATAAAAGTCATGACCATAAGCTATATAAAAAACCCTATAGTCTGCTTTTTAATCTCGGAGACAAAAATGACAACACCTGTGTTGCCGGTTTATTGCAGCTCTTAAATAGTGATGTACTTCTAACGTTTTTTATTTAAAAGAGTTTTAGTAAGCATTATCGGAACCAGATTCCCAGTTATAAGAAGCTCACCAACCTAGCAGCATGTCTGCCTATCGGCAAGTATGTGTTTTAATCTAGACTCGCCCGACTCCAAATTTGATTTTTAATTTTTAGCTCCATTTTCAATTTTGAAGTCCCTTTTAAAAATAATTTTAAAATATCAAAATTACATCGTCCAAGTCCAATAGAAAGAGTCACTGCCGGATTTAGGGGAGGGCAACCTCAATATAACCTCCACAAACGGGGGGGCCCCACAATAGAGACTAGGGAAAAAAAATCTTTCAAATTCCAACTAGTAAACAGCTTTTCCTTTGATATTTTTTTTTGCTCTTTTACCTTTACCTACAGTACTTTGTACATCTAACATACATGATTATTTGATAATATTAATCTTAAATAACAGAAATCATTGATCTATATTTGTTCATTTCAATCAGGCAATCAGTGAAATATCAAAATCTCAAATGGCCCTGATAAGCACTTCCAATTCACTACCCATCTTGAGGGAGTACCCCAATCGCTTAATGGCTGGTTGGGGTGGTACTTGCCCGCAGGGCCCAATTCAAGGCAGGGCATGTGGGGCTGTGGCCCAGGGGCCTCCACAACAGCTTAAGAAATTACAACATTTCGATGGGTTAACAAGAATACAAATCCTAAGTGGCCCGGGGCCTCCACAATCCTAAATCTGGCCCTGGAAAGAGTCTCGTAAAAGAGAACCCGAATATAATTTATGTGTTTTTTTTTTTAGTTAATCATGAATACAATATTATTTACACGCAGGGAGATTTGAAGTTCATTATAAGATAAGCGTGTTATACTAATCAGATATGAATTTTCTGCAAAAGGCATCATCAGACTCGTTATCTATTACTATATTCAAAATAAAATAAAAACAACTATAACTGCCGTTTCTTCTTTCAAATGTTTAATACTTGTAAGGGTATTCATTTGACATTGTGGGTTACCTACAGTGAAAAGAGATGGCGCTGCCTTGCAGCCTAAGGCTAGAGAAAAATTTAGTGCATTCGCCCGGATAGCGAAGGGTGCGGGTTTGTGTCCCGCCTGCTGCCTGGTCCGCGTGGATTTTTTATCTAGTAAACTTTTCTTAAGATTTAGATTTAAACATCTAGCAGTTGAATGGTTAAAAAAACTATAATAAATGTTCGGTAACATCGACTATATGACCCAGTTGACCGTTTCTATTCAAAATAAACACGGCGCATTCAAAACTACACATAAAATATTATGTATCGATAAAGAGTGCTATCATTTTTGAAAATTTAGAAAATATCAATAAAATAAATAAATTACCGTCAAATAAAAATTAAAACGGTATAGCGGCTACAACAGTACATAATAAAAGCTAGTATCATTATTTGCAAACTTGATATTTGCATGTCATTTTTGTTTCCGAGATTAAAAAACAGACTTTATATACAAAATCGTAACCGAAACCTACCCAAAATGTACATTGGACTATCCAAAGAGCTCCGTGGATGATCGCATAGCCAAAAACAATATAAAACATTATTTAAACATTCAAAGTCGTCATTAATGCCTAACATATAAGGTCTCAATTTAAACGCATGCGTCAGTTATGACAAATTTTATGACTTGTCGGCTATGCGGAAAAATATAGACTTTATTTCTATTCATTTAAATCGTAATTCTGAATGCGCTGTTAGCAATATAGCAGGTACGGAGTTCGAGGGTAAGCGAGAGCTACATAACCGACCATGTACTGTTATATCGCAAATATTTTCTATTAAATCAGTTTACAATAAGTATTAAAACAAAATTTGCTTCAAATGGCGTAAATTAAGAATCAGAATCAGAATCAGAAATTTTATTGCATTTCATGTGGTAAATAAGGTCTAACATTGTTATATGGTACAAACACATGAGTCCTGTTAGGACATAACAATATTGAACTTATAGCTAAAATTAAATTTATGTCAACATTATAAGTAGTAGTATATTAACAATTATCAAATAAATATCAAGTCAATTTTAACAATAATAATTAAGAATAATAATAATCAGCATGTCAAGGTGTCTTTAATATTTGAAATTATTTAATAGTCCTATAGTATTCACATAATTTATAAAAACATTTATTAACAAGGTAATCATTTAAGGTTGTAACAAACTTATCGTATTCGTCTATCTGTCTAATATGCTTTGGTAACTCGTTGTACAATTTAATCGCCATTGAATACGGCCCTGATCCAACTATTGATAGCGTAGTTTTTGGTACTACAAATTTATATCTACTTCTAAGTTGTGTTGATCCAGTATAATTATCTTTACGATTTACAAAAATATTTTGGTTCTTTTTTACTAGTTTACATGCTTCCAGGATATATAAAGACGTTACAGTTAGTATTTTATATTTTATGAAAAATGGTCTACAGCTTTCCATTGTATCTATATTGGCCATGATTCTTATACATTTTTTTTGTAGCGTAAGTAATTTAGGAGCATCCGAACTGTTTCCCCAAATAGGTATGCCATATCGCAACCATGATTGTGCATATGCGAGATAAGCTATTCTGGCAGTGTGTGTATCAGTTGATCTTTTTAACTCATTTAGTGCATAGATGAATCTGGATAGTTTATTTGATATATATTCAATATGACTTTTCCAGTTAAAGTTGCAGTCTATATTAACTCCTAATAATTTAAAATTGTTTACATGCTCTATCTTTCTACCCCGTGTTGTGAAGTTTATTTTAAGAGGTTTCTTTTGATATGGTCGAAATACCAATATTTTAGTTTTTTCAAAATTTATATTAAGGTTGTGGTCATTTAGCCAAAGAAGTAATTTTGTCAAGATTATGTCTAATTTATGGTTAAGGTTTCTATCGTCAGATACAGGAAATATAAACGACATATCGTCAGCAAACAATATACTGTCTTCATCAAAAATGCTAGGTAAGTCGTTGATATACAAAAGGAATAGCAAGCATCCAATGACGCTACCCTGTGGTATAGACTTCGTCACAGCTGTTTCGTCGGATCGAACATTTTTTATTTGATTGCTGTTATAACATTTGTGCTGAACTTCAACACATTGTACCCGGTTCTTAAAATACGATACAAGCCATTCGTGTGCTGCGCCCCTTATTCCTAAGTCATATAGCTTTTTTAATAATATTTTTGGCAAAACCCTATCGTATGCTTTACTTAAATCTAATAGCAAACCCACAGCATATTGTTTTTTATTAATAATTTCCAGAGCCTTTTGTACATATTTGAAAACTGCTATAGTTGTAGAGCGTTTTTTTCTGAATCCATTTTGGCTTTCATGGAAAATATTATATTTTTCACAAAAGGAATACAAACGAGTAGTCATGGCGGATTCAAACACTTTTGAAAAAGTTGGCAGCAAAGCTATGGGTCGATAGTTACTTTCTAATGTGGTATCAGATGTCTTGTGAATTGGTTTGATTATAGAAATTTTTAATTTATCCGGAACGGCCCCTCGTCAAAAGACTGGTTGATTAAAAATGTGAGAGGCCATGCTAATTCTGCTGAGCATTTTTTTACTAACATGGGAGGTATATCGTCGTAACCACAGCTGGTTTTATTTTTCAAGCGCTTTAAGATTGCCATCACCTCCGCAACATTAGTTGGTCTTAGAAAAAACGAGTTCTGCACAGGGGAAACAACAGGGCGGCCCAGCGGCGGTTGAGATTCGTTATACGCACCTACTGACGCAAAGTAATTATTAAAAATATTCGCCACTACGTGGGGGTCTGATACTAGAGTACCCTTTGTACGTAATTTTATATTGTTGTGAGATTTTTTTGGCATTTTATTTGTTCTTTGTTTGACAATTTGCCACATAGTCTTGGTAACGTTATTAGACTTTTTAATTTTATTTATATTGTACAGTTTTTTCGAACATGAAATAGTTTTTTTCAATATTTTTGAAAACTTTTTGTAGTGGTCATTTAATATAGGGTCGTTATGATGGATATTCAAAATTTTTAGGAGCCTTTTGTGTTTGCACGAAGTTTTTATTCCTTTAGTTAACCATTTTATAGTTGTTTGGCTTTTAATTTTTAGTTTAATAGCTGGGATGCATTCATTTTGTACTTCATTTATTGTTTGTAAAAATATGTTATAATTGTCATTAACACACGAAGTTTCTTTAAAAATGTTACTCCAGTCTATTTTCCTAAGATTTAATTTAGATAAATTTATTTTATTTTCGTTGTACAATCTTTTATGTATGTACCAGAAGGGTCTTGATTCTAAAGGTGTATTCATTAGAGTAAGCTCAATTCCTTTGTGATCTGAAAGGCCGTACTCCTCTAACTTAAAACTCATTTTACAAGGGTTAAAATTTATGAACAGTAAGTCTATGCAGGTTGCACTTGTTTTTGTTATTTTTGTTGGTTCTTTTATGTGTTGATTAAAGTTAAAAGTTTGCATCAATTCCAGTAACGCGACTGATAGTTTCGTCTTTTCTAAAAAGTTAGTATTAAAATCCCCCCCTATAATTATATCATATTTATAATATTTTTTAGATAATATATTTAACATTTTTTCTAGAGAGGAGAAAAATATTTCAGTGCCTCTATTATTTTGTGGCCAATACAAATTTACAACAATTGTATTTAGTCTAGGTATTTCTATACAGCAAATTTCAAAAATGTATTCTACAGTAAGCTTGTTTATTTCAGTTATTTCTTTAAATTCCATATTTTTACAGGTAAATATACATACACCACCACCGTCATGATTTTCTCTAGCGTACAGTGATGCGCATTTATATCCTTCTAGCTGCAATAAGTCTATTTTATATTTTGTTATCCAAGTTTCAGTAAAGCACAATATTTTTAGCTCTTTATCATTATCTACAATGTCCTCTACTAGGTGTTGTTTCCTTTTATAACTACAAATATTCTGAAACAGGATCTTTGTTTCGAAAGGTATAGTTCTTAGCTGTATTTGATTGTTGTTTTACTTGGGGTTTTGATATGATTGTACTGGTTGTTGAATCAGATTTTATTTCCGTTCTATTATTGCATCCTGATAGAGTTGGGTTACGTTGACTGTCTAATAGCAAGTGATATTCTTTATTAGTCTGAGTTTGCTGTTTTCCATTTATTATGAGGTTATCATTACTTAATATAGCATGATATCCTTGTTTGCGTGCTTCTTGAAGTGAGTTCCATAGGTACCGCTTCTTTTGGAGAGCTTCCCTATCTAGAAATTGACTTATTGCCAGTCCGGTATTTTTAAAATAATGTTTGCCGTCAATCGCAATCCTCATCAACCTTTTGCTCAATAGTTCTATTACAATAGGTCTTTTATTTCCTCGTTTTCCGAGTCTGTACATTTCTTCTATATATCCTGTGTAATCTACATGTAATATTTCGTATAATAACCAAACTAGTCGATCATGTAAGTCATTGTCTGACTCCCAGTAATATTCTTCAAGCCCATAAAGAACGATTTTATTTGAATTTCTTTGTAAAAATAATTCTTCATCCCTTCCGTCGTTTCGTTGCTTTTGGGAACAATTTTCAGTCTTGTTTTCCATAATTTGTAGTTTTCCTTGTAATTTATGACATTCAGATTGTAGTGTTCTAATTGTTTCATTAATGCTGTCGATGTTGCTCAATAACTCAATCTGTTTTTTTGTAATATGGTTAATTTTTTCATTGGTTTCTTCCCTTATTTTGTTTATTGCTAATGGTACTTCCGCATTTATTATATGTTTTAGTTCATAGACAAGGGAGTTCCTATTACTTTCCAGTGTTTCATTAATGAATTGTTTTAATTGTTCTAACATGGATTCCTGACCAAATGCCAGTTGCAGTTGCTTCGATTGGTTATCTTCAGTTATTGTGTCGCCTAGTATAGAAATGTCTTCCTGGGAGAGTGATAAATTCTGGCTTTTACTTTGATTAGTTTTCCTCGTAGTTATATTGCAATCATTTTGGTGATCCTGTTCTATTTGTACTAGTTTTGTGTTTTCTATACTGTATGAGTGTTGGGTTCGGATAGGTGTGTTACTGTTATCAGTTTTGGGCATTTTGCTGTAACATAGTTGGCATTTCCAGTTTTTCCGGTGTGCATCTACAAGGGTATTGCGAAATCGTTGGATTGAGACGTTGGCACAATCCAGATCATATTTATTATTACAGGTTGAACAGACAAGGAACTCTCTGTTTTGTATCTTTTGTAAACAGCCGGCACAAACATTAGGTGGTGCCATCTGGCGGTGATTTTTAGACATATTTATCTTATCGTAGTTTGCCCCTTGAATTTACTTCTATGTGTATAGTTTTAGGTATTTTAGAAAACGTTTTATAATTCTTTGCTTAATTTTTTATGGAATTATTTTCTACAATAAAGTAAAATATATATATTTGTCGTCACTTTATATTTTTCTATACACGTTGAATAGTTCATCTACTCCGCAATAGATGGCGCTAGTTGTCTTACGCCTGCGAAGATGTCAATGTAATTTTAATGTTCTCATTCAGTTCACTAAACCGTTATTCAATTTTAAAAGTTATGCACTGTTCATTGTTTTATTAAGGTTTTTATTAGTCACTTGACAAATTTGATAACTTTGTAATAATAATCTTCACAATTTATTGTCATTTACTTATGTTACACTTATAAATTTGTCATATTTTTATTTTTTACTTTTTTCACTGTTCTTCTCAATAATATTTTTCACCAACACTTTCACTGGATATTTAGTTATTTTTTTATATAATAATACCACTTTATGGTTAAATTAACCTAATTTAATATTTTTTTACTAAATTCGTACGGGAGTCAATGTTTACTAAACAGCGCCCTCTAGCGTAGACTAGTATAATTAACAAACATTGATTAGATATTTGTCACTACAATCTAAATACTTAAACTATTACTTTCGATTTTTTCGCGGAGCTCTGTGGCATCTTGACTTTGTAACGGTCCGCGCGTGACTGTGAACCAAGAAGTGCTCGAGTGTTGTTCAAGCACTTCTTGATTGGGACACATTTTGATCGCTCATGATGTATCTAGGGTTATTAATATCGTTGTTCATACTACTATCGATGGTTTGAAATCGGCTCTACAGACCGTATTGTTCTGAATGAATATTCAGTGTGTTTTTTCATTTTCGCGACATTGGTGCTGAATATGATGGAAGATAAAGAGAACCGAATTGCTACACAAATAGAATTACACAATTCCATTTGGTATTCGTCGTCATCAGATAGGAGACTGAATATTTATATCTCTTACTCCTCTTCTCCCTATTCCATTCATAGGGAAAGCCTGCGCCTTTGTACACAGTACTCTAGGCACGGTCTATAAACACCTGCTCCCTGATTCAAGTGCTTCAACGCCTAGCCGACTGTTGCAAAATTAGCCGTAGCCAACAAGAAAACCCATTACAGTGATTGCTTACCATCAAGCGAGCCATATGATTTACGGTTTCCGCAATTTTTCCTTTATCTGTACTATAAGACGTTACATCGTACCTTTCAAGATTCTAAGTTTACGGGAAGTACCATTTAGGTTTTGATACCCGCGCGAGTTTCGAAAATTTGCGGCATAAACGGCTGTATCTTTTGATTGCTTTGGCTTAGAAGTTTGATTTTTTCACAGCTCCAAGGGACAGTAGACCTGAGTATTAGATATGAATTTCAGTTTGATGCCTCCACGCGTTCCTGGGAAAAACGTTTTGGCGGACGGACATGCGGACAACAAAGTGATCCTATAAGGGCTCCGTTTTTTCCTTTTGAGGTACGGAACCCTAAAAATTACTCACCATCATCGAACTCTTCACCGTCAAGGTAGTTGTCCTCATCATCAACCTCATCAGCTGGGTCAGGGTGAAGGGATTGTCCCTGTGACATGGCCGAGTACATCGCTTGCAGCTCTGATTCAGACTGAGGCACAAACCTGGAGACACGGAGACTTATTAACAATAGCCAATGGGGTACTTGACAAGTTTTAAAAAACGATCTCACGCTATTGAGTAATGTTTATGGAGTCCGTAATAAGTAGATATTCATCATTCTGTTGTGTATTTCAGTAAAAATAACCAAATTAAAAACTCCATTTTTAAATTGCCACGAAAACGTTTCTCTTGGCAATATGGCGTCTGACTAGTGTGTGACGTCACACGACTGTTGTTAAAACGTCAAACATGATACAATGTAATGTCACTTTAACCGGAAGTTTACTTGCGTGTGACGTCATTTTAGGCTCCGCCAATCCCAAGCGTTTTGGGTAACAATAGTTAAGAACACTATTATCTTGATCGTGGGTTTCTAGTAAAATTTGGAATATTTTTTTGTAACAGTAAAAACCCCTTCCAATATTCAATCTAAACACAGATGCTAAAAATTGGCACTTTATTTTTAATACTGTCAAATACCTATTTGTTCAGTCTAGGCTAACAGGCTCTTATGAAAATAAATACTAATTGCACAGCAACAAAACACACGATATTAATTAGTATATAATAACTCCATTAAAAGTGGATATTATTTGTAATTCTGTTGAGCGTATCAATCATAATCATAATCTTTATTGCTTCATTTTGGTACAAACATGGGTTCTTAAATTTAAAATAAGGATTCACAACATGAGCCCTGAAAGGGCATTATAAATATTTACTTAATTTCTAAGAAACAAGAAATCTTTTATTTTTTTACTGAACATTGTATGTTTTTCTTCGTCTTTAATATACTGAGGTAATTTATTATATAACTTAATAACCATATAGTATGGACTGCAGTTAAGGAATTTTGTTTTGGATGGTGGAAAGTGTAATATTTTTTTATGTCGGGTATTTATATTATGGCGGTACTCATTTTTTTAAATGAATTAATATTATTAAAAACTAATTTACATAGGTCATATATGTAAAGCGATACCAATGTCATAAATGTGTGTTTTTTATTTGAGATATTATTCCTACACATTTCTTTTGCATAAGAAAAAGTGAATTCTCATTTACACTGTTTCCCCACAGTATTATTCCGTATTTTAACCAGGAATAAGCAAATGCATAGTAGGCAGCGAGCGCCGTTTCTGTATTTGTGCTTTGTTTTATTTCAATTTTCAATGTCAAGGGGTTCAAGAAAAACGAATTTATTGGGGGGTCCCATCAATAAAAAAAACAAAATAAAAATTGTTTTTAGTATGCTGTGGAAACCTTTCGAACGCAAATATAGCGTATTACAGACATGTGACGTCACACAGCTCTCGTTAAAACGTCAAACAGTATTAAGTTTTTTTTTCTAGTAAAACTTTTCTTTAGATTTAAACATCTAGCAGTTAAATGCTTAAAAAAAAAAATCATAAGTACAAAGTAATGTTTACAAGCAACTGGCGTCATTTTACGCGCCACCTATCTTAGGTGTATTCGTGAAAATAGTTAGGAAAATAGGTACTTTTGCTGCTTCATGTTTTTTGTAATATTTTCAACTAACAGTAGTTGATTTGTCATAATAATGAAATCGCTCCCAACAATTTCGATGAAACAATGATGAAACAAACACATGCCTACAATTATTGGTAACTTTATTTTTCATACTGTCAAAAAGCCTATATCCAACCTAACCAAAAAATGACAAAGTTATAGCGCATCATAGTTTGGGAGTAGGGGCTTGTGACGTCACTTTTGACTGAAAATTGTATTTGTTTAATTGTAAAACGTGACGTCATGCGAATTTTCAAATCAATATATCTTTGCAATGTTTATATTATGTGAAAAAAGAAAAAATACCGTGTCCAATACTTTTTGATAATCTACCTGATAAACGAAGAACAAAAAATTAGTCATCATCCCTATTAGAATGTACCTCAATTGTGTGATAGGCTGATCTTCAGCATCAAAGTCGTCATCGTCTTGTGAGTTGCTGTCTCCGCCCCCAGATTGGCCCGTGAGCTCAGGTAACCTGTAATAAAGTTAGGAAAATTTCTTTTCAATTTCAAACTTTATAATATCTAATTTAGGGCTACTAGTAGTGATCTATTTGGATAGTCAGGTGACTAGACCTTCTGCAACTGCAACTTGAGTCATTTATTTACTATTCTTTAAAAGCCGTTTCTTACCAACTAAAAATCTGTCATTTGAACTGAATCCTAATAAAGTAGAACAGATAAATTAAATATTAAAGTACTAAGTAAATATTGGTGTCTATTCTGGCATGATTCTCTAAACTTAAAACTAAATTTATCATCAGTCTCTCCTTTCCATTCTGTATAGGGACTGACAAGGATACACTGTTGTCAAATTTAAGTTTACATTTAGAGAATAATGCCAGAATCGACAGCATTTTCTGCTTAAGTAAGCAGAAATATTTTACATACCTATAATAAGAATTTTGATAAGCTGTTTTATCCATATATAAATTAACAAGAAAATTATATTAAATTAGCACCTACAAAGTTGTGTCAATAATACCTTTTAAAAAATATAAATTCCCTTATCCTAACAAATAAATGCTAAGAAATATTTTAAATGAGTAACAAAATACTGGAGTGTCACCCTTAATTTCTAACAAATAAATAGTTAATAAATGTATTTGTGTCATATAGATGTGTTTTACCCATTAAAATAAATGTACCTACTCAATTCTGTTCTAAATTATCAGTCGCAGTATACTATGGACTTATTCTTCAGCTTACTTGATTATTTATCAATTGGTAGTTAAAGCAAACACTAACCTTAGTTCGTAGTTGAGCACCATGTACAGTGCTGGTGAAGGGTCTCTTTGTACAGCATGCAGTGAAATACTGGGGTACAGGAGGCTTATTGTTGGTGCCAGGCCACCAGTAGGCCGTACGCCACCACCCCACACCACATTGCTAAAACAAACCAAAATATTTTATTTATAATGAAGAATTGTCACTATGTAATGTTGACACATTTCTTTACAGCTAAGTACTTTAAATCTTAAGAAAGTAAATAAAAGTACACGTATTTGGTGAACTTTAGAGACAGTTATAAATACACGTTTATTTGTTTTGGGAAAAGGTAGGTACATCTAGAATCACATGTAGGAGTGAAGACAAAATAAATGTGGATTGGGAGCAGTAGGCTGGTAATACGCACTTTTCTGTTATGTATAATGTGGCTGTGCCCAATTCCTGGTCATTCACCAACAGCTTTGTTGATGGAGTCTCCAGGAGTATGCCTTCAACCGGTGCCGAGAAATTCGACGAAACTACAACCATTTTACTTGATTGGGAATCCTCGTGGATGGGAAATTACATAAAATACTTTACAAGCACAATATGCTAAACCTAACTCAAGTTCACTCTTCAGTGTTTAAATATCAGATTAGTAAGGATAAATGAAATGAGAGAATCAAACAAGAATCAAATCAAACATGTCTATTGTATTCATCCAAATTATAGGGTAATTTAGAATGTCAAATCTCAAATGCCCCCTCTAGACGTCGTCGGCGGACGCATCCACAGATGCCATCTACTACTACGGATGCGTGCGCCAACGTGTAGACGGGGTAGTTTGCACGTCTGTGGTAGGTATTTGACGTCCGCAGATGCGTCTGCGAATAAGTACGTCCTGTAAATAAGTTGGTACGATTGCACGCATCACACGAAAGCACCACTTTTGAGAGTGCTCAATTGTGCGAAGCGTTGCTGTAGTTGGAACACTCAACGTTAAGCATTATGCCGCATAATGCGCTATAATGCTGTAATTGGAAAGCAACCCCACACTACGCCGCTGGTTGTGTGCACTGCATACGAGTTGCTTCTGCTGTCGCGAATGAACACAGACTGAATGATCTTCAGGCGTTGTCAAATGTGTGGTCGGCTCGTGATGATCCATCTGCTGATGCATCTGGCGACGTCCGCTGTCGCATCCACCACTATCCACCAACGTGTTGTAGAGAAAGAGGACGCAAAATAAAGAGAAAGAGTACAGACCGCACAGACTACTTGGGACGTACCGTGCCTATCTTCTACCCTCAACTAGGGCTATTCGATATTATAAAAAATATCAATAGGGAAGATGCAATATTTTTATTTTTGTTTTCATTTTAAAGAATTCCATGTAGAATAAACCACAGATTTATTAAAAAATTAAAACATTGTGATTTATCGGAAAAAATGCGGTTTTAAATTGACAATTTAAATTTTCGCGCGAAAACGAACCTATGGTTGCGATGACGTCACTCCTGTCTGTCACTGGTCGTAATTGTTCGTTGCTGGGTTTAAATTTTCATACTTTTGCATATTTTTTCGACTTTCGAAATATTTTTTTGAAAAATTTAAAATGGACTATCCATCAACATCATGTGATCATAACAATACCACTAATATTCCGAAAAAAGCCGTGTTGACTAATGTTTTGTGCCAATCTACTTCAACAAAGTTCCCAAATAAATTGTTTTTGACTGGAACTTCTGACCTAAAACTGAAAAAAAAAAGTGGTTTCAAGCTGCGAAGAGAAATGACAATTATTCTCCAAAGACCATTATTCGATGCTGAGAAGATCACTTTGACGTAAGTTGGCGAATATACTTGTTATATGCTTAATTAATCTGCTTGTACGTAAAAACGCATTAGTAACCTACCTAATACTTACAAAACCTGTCTATAACATATTTTTAATTTTACAGTTAGAGAATGACGTCGAAAATTAGATAAAGTTTAAAATGTGTGGCACAATCTTCACATTGGCAGGACTGAACCAAGCTTTGCGTTTCATTTAAAATAACTGTAACACGATAACCTTCTTTACGTAGTTTATGCTCCGGAGAACTCGACCTTTTACTGTACATAATTTTCCATCTCTTATAATTTGGACATAGCCGATTGCATTATCGCCGTAAGATTTGTAGAAGCCGCTGAATAAAATACGAATAAACTACGATTTTTACATACCGTAGTAATATACTCCGTTTCATTTCTACACTTAAAAACTCTGCACTTTGGACAAAAAAAGTTATAACTACAAATACACCAGCAGAGGGCGCTAAGTTCAGTGTTGAAAAAAAAAGTCAATGTTTGTACCTTCATCCATACTTATATTCATTTTTTAACAGTTTGATTGAACTTTGATTATTTAAAAAAACTATTTAATGAAACGAAAGCTTTAATAATTTTTCAACAATAAATAATATTACTAACGATAACATATAAATAAAACATTTCGATCAGTGCCAACTTAAAGAAAAAACACTCGTTAATTTTCTGTCTCTGAGTTGGTACGATTGCACGTATCACACGAAAGCATTACTTTTGAGAGTGCTCAATTGTGCGAAGCGTTGCTGTAGTTGGAACACTCAACGTTAGGGTGCGGCCAGAGTGCACTCAGATTCAGATTCAGATTCAGATTTCGAAAACAAACGCGAGAAATAAACAGTGTAGTCGAAGGGTACGGCCAGATTGCACTCCTGATTCAGATTCAGATTCAGACTCAGAAAACAAAGCGCGAGAAAAAGCAGGCAACCTGCTTAGACTACACTGTTTATTTCTCGCGCTTGTTTTCGAAATCTGAATCTGAGTCTGAATCTGAGTGCACTCTGGCCGCACCCTTAGGCATTATGCCGCATAATGCGCTATAATGCTGTAATTGGAAAGCTAACATTATGATGCGTTGATAAATCGTTATCAATTAATCTATAGATACAGATGCATCACACCATCGTCACTACCCAAAGAGATGTCACTACCTCTCACACCTCTACACACCGAAAATGACAGCTGAATTGAGCTGGGTTGCGTTCCAAACACTAAATATAACTTTTTACCCTGACGAAGACGTCTCAATTTTGACATAAATTTGAAGTACAGACCATTTGAAGCGTAGGTTTGGAACGCAGCCTTTAACTGACAGCAGAACGAACCATTATCGAATTCGAATAGTTTGCGTTTTTTTCGGCGGGAACCTTCGAAGAGGAAAGGCGCGCTTTGAAGATTTTTTTTGCATTAATTTTAATTTTCTCTTTTTTTTGTGTATTCTTGTATAGTTTTATGTAAATAGTGTTTCAATTCAAATATAGGTATATAGAAGTTAAATGGCTAGTACGAAAAAGCGGAAAAAAGACTTTGGGGGTGGCGATGATAGTCGTCGTTCTTCGGACGATGAGTCTGAGACCTCTCAGAAATTCAAGATCTTTAAAGTAACTGGGTATCAAAGGAAATATCCTGAAAATGCAGATAAAACAGAGTTTGTTGTGTTTTTGTCTCACAAAACTTACGACACGCCATTTACGGACAAAGACAGAATAAAAATTTCAAAAGCCATCCGAACACATTGCGTGTCCGGTGTTTTACATTTAAGGCCGGTTAATCGGTATAAAGTCGGCATAACGTTCGATCTTTCGAACAATGCCAATGTTTTTTTACAAAATGCTAAACTTTTGGAAGAGTTGGACGTAGTGGCCACCATTCCAGCAAAGGACACTGAAGTAACCGGTGTGCTAAAATCTGTCCCTACCGAATTGTCAAATAAAAACATTTTCTCTTTGATAGGTAGCTCCAAAAACATTATACAAGTCCGGCGGTTCATGCGGCGTGTGCGGGGGGATGCTGGTGCAGTCTCGTACCAGCCCACGCAAACAGTCGCAGTAACGTTTGCCTCTACTCAGTTGCCAGAATACGTATATCTAGACCATTGGAGACACGAGGTCAGTCCATACGTTCCACCTGTTAAGCAGTGCCTACGTTGCATGCGTTTCGGTCACATTGCTAAGTTTTGTCGCAATAATGAAGTCTGTTCAATTTGTTCGACAAATCATAATTATAAATCTTGTACTGTTGATATAGAAAATGCAAAGTGCACTAACTGTGGAGGTAATCACGTAGCCATCTCATCCTCTTGTCCAATTAAAAAGCAACAGATCGAAGACAACAAAATTAAAAGTAGAGCTGTGCAGTATTCAGAACTGTTTAATGAAAAATCATTTCCCAAACTTGCCGAAAAATCGATAGAAACACATTTAAATAATTTATCAAAATCAGACTTATTTATGAATTTATTAGTAGAAACAATAATGAATATAGTATCTAATAAGAATGTACCTATAAATAGTAATACTATAAAAGAAAATTTACATAATACATTCAGAAAAATACCTTCCAAAAATAAAAATGGCTAACTTAAATATTGTACAATGGAATGCTCAGAGTTTAGTAAGCAGTAGGCTCATATTTACAAATTTTCTTTATGAACACAACATTCATTTAGCATTAATATCAGAAACTTGGCTAAGACCGAATCAACAATTCAAAATAAAAGGTTACAACATAGAAAGAAATGATTCTGATAATATACATAATGGAGTTGCAATATTAATTCGCAATAACATTGTTTATACTAAAATCAATACAAATTTTGATAATACTTTGCAAAATATTTGTATTCGTATTACAATAAGAAATAAAGATATATCAATTGTTAGCTTTTACAGTCCTCCAAATACTAATCCTGCCTTTAGTAAAAGCAAATTAGATTCTCTTATAAAATCTATCCCTGGTCCGATGATTTTTGCAGGTGATTTTAATGGTCATCACTCTTCTTGGGGCTGTAATTCCACAAATCCTCGTGGTCGAGATATTCTGGATATCATTGATGAAAATAACTTGATTCTTCTTAATGATGGGCAACCAACCACAGTTGGCTCTTTAACTTGGCGGCCCAATGCTCTAGATTTGACCATAGTTAGTCCTTCTTTGGCTTTATCTTGTGAATGGTCTGTTCATGATGATCCTCTCGGCAGTTATCATCTACCTGTAAAAACAAATATTAGTCTCAATGTCAACAACCAACAAGATTGTAATAACAATAATGTCATGGATGATAAGGTCACTTTTCCAATATTCAAAAATTTTAAACTGGTTGATTGGAAAATGTATCAATGTAAAGTTGAAAGTCTTTTATCTGAGTTTTGTGTTCAATCATACACCCCATTGGAGGCTTATACACTATTTTGTGAAATTCTTTATTCAGCCACAGAGTCTTTAACCCCTACCAAATTAAAATCCAACTCTACCAACAGAAAAACTGGCAAAAGACTCTCATTACCTTGGTGGAATAATAATTGTTCAGTTGCTGTGAGTAATTCTAAACAAGCATATATTACATTTAAAAATAATCCATCAGAAACAACCTATTTGGAATTTAAAAGGTTGCAAGCTTTAAAAAAACTCACCCTTAAAACTGAAAGATCAAAAAGCTGGGCTGATTTGTGTAGTTCATTCAATCGTTGTACCCCTCTTACTGTAATCTGGAAATATATGCGTAAATTCAATAAATCTTTTATTTTAAGTCATCCAGACTGTGACAGCTGGGTTTTACCTTTTCTTAAGAAATATACTCCTGATTATGTACCTACTCATCAGGACTGTTCCTACAATAGATCTCAATCAAATTCCACCAACCTCTTTTTAATAAAACCATTTACAATAACAGAATTGAAAAACG